TGGGTCAAATAATCATATCTTGTTGATACTGTATCGAACTCGAAACGCCTGCTTTAGCGTCCAAAAACCCTGGACGCGAAGTGCTCTAGGCGCGAAAAGAGGTGGCCGCTTTCCGTGCCACAGCCATGGCAGTCACAACGGCAGGAACAAACTGGTGATCGCTCTGTGACTACATTCCATTCACTTGGACTCAAGCAGGCTCATGCGCACTGACCGTATCTTGGCGAAAAGAAAAGGCATTTGGTGAAAAGTGAATTGCTTTTTTTGATGTATCAGAGTGTTCAAGTGTCCAGTTTTTTTCCGTTAGAAATTGAGATCTCAGAAAAGGAGAAATAGGGCCCAACTTCGATGGTTTCGTCTAAAAGCTATGAGAAGTTTAAATACAACTATATTGTTCATCCTTACAGAATTTGCAAACGAGTAATCATGTTCCGATTTTCTCTGTTACTCGACTATGGAATAATGGAAATTTCCTATTTTAAAGTGCTTTTCGGAAGCTTAGTAGTCGAAAAACCTGAGCTCTCTCAGATAAACTGCTTAAAAAGGTAAATAAGCTGCTGTTGCGGCTTATCTACCTTTTTTTGAGCAGTACATATGTTTGGCAAAGTTATTTTATTTTCTTCTTATTTGGAGTATCTCTACCAGCTTATTTATCTTCACCTGTTCAAGTCCTGCAAAACCGGCAACTTCACTACCATTGTAGCGACAACTTCATGCTTCGAAATCACTGAAAATTAGCTAGAAAAGTTGTCCATGAAAGTCTGAAGAAGTGTTTAGATTAGAACTTCCAACAAAGCTATTGCCTTAGTCAGGTCTGATTCGAACTGTTGATCATCTGGAAATGTTGATCAGTTCTAAATGAAGAATTCTGCATTTTCCGTTCTGGGTCAATTTCAACAGAATCTGACAGTGGCATAGAAACTCCCAGGGTCACTGTGAGCACTCGAACCGGCTAAGTACAGAATTGATTCTACTCACTAAGATAGAATTATGCATTATGTAGGGAGGTATCAAATAATTACACGCACTTGAACTCTTTTTTCCTCTTTTCCTTGATATCATTTCTGTGCGGAGAGAGAAGAGACATTTACTATCTCAACTCGGACTAATGAAAAGATCTGAATGTTTGGAGATACATCTTCTAACAGCAATTTAGCTAACCTTAGAACTTTATATGCACGAAATACACGTATCTATATCCTGCACCGAACGACATTGAAGCAATTCGGCCAGAGGCGAGCCTGCTGGGATTGTTGAGATAGTCTTCACACTGTAGGAAGCATTATCGGAACGAAATTTGATAATGGTTGAACTGAAGAGTCCACCAATTATTACATCAATATCAGTATTACTAATTAGAACGGACTATGAAAAATGATATGTGAACGTATCATTACTTCTGAATGCAATGTTTAATATTCAGGACGAGCAACTATTATGGGAACACCTTTCCATGCTGGGCCACAGTTTTGATGATGGTATACAGCTAAATGAGGCACTTTACCTTTGTCATACAGTTAGTTTATCGGTGTGATTTAGCTCACAAAACTGTGACTATTACTTAATTGCGAACTTGCACTGATACACGAAACAAGTGGAGGTGACTTTATATGCGTTTTTGTAAAAGAAAAAAACTGAGATAAAATTTTTAACATGCTGAGAAGTTGAGTTTAAGACAAGTAATCATCAGTCCTGCTACGCTTTTCGAAGAAAAAGCTAGCTTCGTAGTTACCATCATGAGCTGATAATCCCAGAAAAGTGTTACGAGACAATAAAAAAATTAAATTACTATTCAAGAGCATAAAGTTTTGTTAGGAAGCCCACTGAACAAACAGATGTACATTTGATTTATGAAAAATCACAAGCGTGCAATTTTTCATGTCTTGACATCCAGTTAGCACCAATCATCACTTGTCATTTCAAGTAAACTCAGAAATAATTTGTTCATCTCATCTGTGTTCAAAACCAATCATTGTCACGATGGTGTTGCCGCTGTGGCAACACCTACGATGATTTGATTGAATTACTAAAGAGTGATTGACAGATTTCAGATCAATCATTTCTTTCACAAGATTAGTTTTGCTTTGTGTGTACAAAAATTGGGGTCACTCAAACGGTGTAGAAAAGCCGAAACTCAGCATGTTCTTTGGTTTTTCTGTATATAATAGGATAAATTCGTTGAAGTGGTTTGGTGCACCTGAGAACTTCAAAATTATCTTTGTTGGCACCTCCTTCTCTTGTAACGGTTCGGTTAAGAAGCCATGATTCGACTGCTACACTTCCTCAAAGTAGTTCATTTGTCCACAAACCGCTAAGTGATTTAACACTGGCTTTCATGCACTTTGGCATTTGTACTTTCAGAACGACAGACAGAGTCATGAAGGTATGTTAATGGGAAAGGAAACTAAAACTTTCCGCTGCACTCGCGTGCCTTGGCTGAGACTTTACACAATCAACCACAAGAATGGACAATTATAAGACCTGGCTTTGAGAGATCTTGATCATCCAAATTGTGAGAAAAGCTGCTATGTAGTATTTTCGTGATCCCTCCAAGAAATACCATGCAGCAAGCACTGCCTTGAGCGCTGTCAACAAGCGCTAAAGCACTCTAAACAGGAAATTTTGTATGGTCATCGGGCTGAGAAAATTTACAGCTGGAATGGATCGCGTTCACGATCAGTTGATGAGATCGTACGTTTTATGCATTTCACTTCAGCGTTCATTTGAAGGTCATTGATTTTTGTTTGGGTGCAACTCTCAGGTTGTGCAATCAATCAGCTTGACTTTGTTTCTCTAAATTCTAACACACCTTTGAATTTCGTAATTCCATTTGGATTCACTTGCGATTTCGGATACAAGGAGTATAATTTCTATTTTTCAAAATTTGAGGGCTCTTTTGCGTATAGATGTGATATAAAATGTGGGGTCATAACTTCACTCCATGATTGTGATGAGAATGATGAGCTCGTTTGACATACTTCCACTACGTGTTCCAGAAACAGTAACTTTTTCGCACATAGTCATATTATTAATCCACGCGATCTTCCCCTCTCCACTCTTCCCGCTCTCGAATTAGCGACCCGAAATGGCCCTACTGCCCCTATTTCACCTAGTTATCCCACGTCATCACATAGCAACTACTTGATGCGTAGTATTGGACTCATACCGTATCCTTGTTTGACTGCCATTTGCCGTCGTCATTATATTGATATTCAAATGGCTAAGGAAATCCAGACGTAATGGCACCATAAGAACGACAAAAAGTCGCCGCATACCGATTTTCAGGCCATGGCAAACGTGCATTTGCCGACCATTAAGCGTGGCGACGCTGAAGCGATTCGACAGATTTGGTTGAGTTCGAGGATAAATTGTTTAAAAATAAATAACGATGAGCTTCGAAGGACCAACAAATTTTTGGAGAATATGAGTCTGAGTCCATTCTGATACCAGACTATAAAATATCATACAACGATCTAAGAGCGTAATCGAAGCGACATCACAAATTGTTCTGAAATTAGCTATGTATCCGCACAGCAACTACGATTTTGCTCATAGATAGGCCTCTATCAGTAACTCTTTAAGGCCTCACATCGAAACCTTTTTTTCGATTAGGAGCCCACTTGGCTCGACAATGAATGAGACAACTGGAAACAAGTAGTGCGATCTTTTTGTACGTTCAGCTCACACTCACGTTCCCTTTCTGCTCGCCACTTCTGTGTTATCATCTTCCCATCTTCTCCGACTTTGATTGCCTTCTCGCCCTGTTTCGCTGTCGTTTACTCGGTAGTTAGACTAAGAGGAACGTTTGTATTCGAAACTGTTCAACATTTATTACTCCTTAACGGCAAGGTTTAATGTCTTACAGTAACCACAGGGCAACGACTGCTGTTTATCGCATTGTTCATGTTGCTCTCACTTGCGCGCTAAAAATCCCCGCGTGCAGCGCTTTCTATTTGATGATCCGTTACAAAGTCATTAAATGTACATCAATCACAAAATCTTGCATTCATTAATTATTCGGACCCCATTCGTCAATCGCTACATGCCTATACAGCACCTTGGCGGACGGGTAGCGCCATCGCGCAACTCCGCGATCCGTGTCGATAGTGTCATCGCTGCGCGCACTACCTCGTCGCCAACCGTTCGCCAACACTCTCATTGATCGCACGGTCTATCATGAACCTGTCATTTCGAATGATCATTCGTGACACTATCGCTCTGGACATGTGAAATCTTCACACAGACGAAAAAGCGGCGAATTCGCAGCTGGGTATTGGAGCTGATGTTCTCTAAATTTCGATGGCATCCGACTTGAAATATTGGGGAATTCACCAAGCAGAAATTGATGACCAAAGAAGTACTGCTCCGATTACTTCATTTCGCAGCTATTTTTGGTGAGCAGGTGATGCGAGACCTTGTAGCTACTTGCAGCTGATCTAGTGACAGCCGTTACAATACCCTTCCTCTCAAAAAGCCTCACATTTGGCACTTTGACTTCTTGTTATCTAGTTGAAATTTCAAGGATATCAGCTGAAATTGCAGAGGATCGTTGTGAAGCTCTTCATCATTTTTCTGCATATGCTGCTGTATCTACAATAAATTTGCCGAAGGGACCTTTGGAATTTAAAGTTGCTTGATTTTACAATTTCTAAATTGTCCAGCTTTTTTTCGGTATCGCATCAGTAATACATTATTCGAGTGATCGTTCATATAAAGTTAACTACTGTCTGGAATGGTACAGCATAACCATCGCTATCAGTCAGGGCAGCCGTCCCGAATGCCGTTTTGTGCTTCCGATGTTGCTTCTGTTTTTCTACTTGTAGATGTCAACACCACTTTAGTGAAAGTCATCATTCAGGTGATTCTAATGCGCATTAATTCATAGCGGCAAAAACCTGCATGATTTTACAACTGGCGCTGTCTCAAAGTAGAGCAAACTTGGACACAAAATGAAAGATGGGTTTTAATTCACTAGATGAGTATGATGTGTTTCAATCGGGAACATTTGTAATATTTATGAAATCACCAAATTTGTTATGCTTGACAACCAATAGACAAACAACATGACAATCGTAAAAAACAAAGGAACATTTAGCGAGCGCAAACGAAATTTACATGATATGAGAAGAAGAATAAAATAATATAGGTACACGAGACGGCTTTCAACTAGATAGAATTGATAGAACAGTGGGACGTGATTGCGCCACCAACAAATTGGAGGCTGTCCACAACAAAAGAATACGGTACAACGCATCGGAACGGGGTCTGTATGATACGTCATTGCATGGTATGACAACTGCGATAACAGGGGAAGTAATCACGCAGAAGGCACGTCGACCAGCCTACTCTTGACGCTTTCTCGTTCTAAGGGGTGAGGGGAACAACTAGTACAAGTAATATGTGACTAAAGGGATGCTTTAGAAAAGGACTGGAGGGGACGGCGTCGAGAATGGGACAAAATCGCGTGCCTGAAGCTCTGGTCGGACGTGGAGGTGCACGAGTGTACGAACAGAAGCGCTAGAGAAGTCATTGTCGCCAGTACTGTTCGTGCTGTTGACCATCTCCCAAATCATGCATCGATGTCTGCCCGAGAGATGGTTGATCGATGGTGCTCAACACTGCTGATACTGGTAGGCCCATGCTGGATCCGAGGCCTAAAATCACCTTAGTAGATAGTGACCTGTATACATGAAGACAAAACGGAACTGCAGAATGTTTTGCTCATGCAGCTGAGCTTTTTCACATCAAGTTATAAATCGCTGAGTGGGGAACAGGTACAAACAACTGGGAACAGAGAACAATTGCGCTCTTAGTATTTTTATAGACGAGTGAGACAAATTAAAAACCTACGGAAAAACTGTATCCCAGGCTATCTGTGCTGCGAGAGAAATACTGATAACTGAAAGCACTTTAAGCACGCAACTACGTCACTCAAAACAAGTATTATTTTGATAACTTCTAGAGGAAAAGTTCACAAGAACTAGTCAAGGTAATGCATGAGGAATCTCGATTAGCAGCAGTCAGATTGATCCGCATATAATGAATGGAGACGGCAGAGTGAAGACAAAGCTTACATCGCGACCTTACCAAACATGCGCACGATCGTGGGAATGCGAGAGTGTGCTACGATTTTATGGCAGTGGCGCACGCCAGATATGGCTGTGGATGGTCTCGAGACAGAACTCGTTTGATGATCACGATTCAAAAACACTTGTACCGCCTGAAGTATCAATAAACCTACAACCGGCCACGAGAATAAATCTCGCCCCAGAAGAGAACTTCTCGATGCAATGTGAGTGAGAGCGTGTGGTATCATGACCGGTGCCGGTAACGTCCACTTGCACTCTGAGTGGGAATGGCGATGAAAGCGATTGATGTGCCGAAAGGTAGCCCCTCATGCCCCTTGAAGAGAGCGGTAACATAACGAGCAAAACTTTTCCGTTCGTGTGTGGGAATCGATACAAAACGTTCCGATCTTGTGGTGAGACAACTGTCATCAGACGTTATCGCACATGGCGCTTGATCTCATTCCACAAAAAAATGTCTTGGTAGAGACGAAATCTGAAGTGACACCACCGCACCTGTCGCGACGCACACTGCGCACAAAGCATACAACTACGGTAGGGCTGACAACGCCATGGAACGGTATCAAAGATGAGTGGACTGAATGAGCGCACTCACCTCCAACGGATGTCGTGGCTGGATTCATAGAAGGTTGGAATGACGGTCCACCACTGGTTGGCATTGGTCGAGCGTATGGCTGAAATGACGATTTTTTTACTCGAGTTTACTAACTCGCAAAGATTTTTGCTCACATGGAAAGCATCGTAAGGTGATCGAGTATTGGCACTGAACATATGATGGGAGCTAAAATCTGCTGTCGGCTGGTAAGGTGCCATGCCCAGGCCTGCATTGGCGAATCCAAATCTGAAATTTCTGACGTCGTATGAGCGTGACGGCGACCCCTTTCAGAGGAGAACAGTCACAGTCCAGAACTAGATCACAAGGGTTACAGAAGTTTTTCGAAGAATTTTAGCAACACGAAACTGGTTGGGCCCTCTCAACAATATTGAACAACAGAAGTGCTGACGACCTATTTAGAAAAGGAGCATCACAATAGAGTATGAACTCGTCACTCGATGAGAGGAATTTGATTTAAAAGTTTCACAAAGGGTTTTTTTAGAATTGATGAGTCTATCTTAGCACTCAAAAGACTCTTATATAACAATTTTGACAACTTAGGCTCCGAAAATGCTTTGTTTGCAAAGCACTCATGAAAAATAATAGGATGGATTAGCCTGTGAGGATTTCGTATTTGCTTTTCTAAGGACGGAACAACTTACGCATAAGGGTCCATAGCCTGAGGTGCTAGACCTGTGTACATCTGACCCGCAGACGGTACGAAACTCGTACTAACTGCAGTGGGATTTGGAGGAAAACGATTCTGTGGTGGTGCAGGTGATCCATCAATAGCACTTCCGGGACCCGAACCCGTTGGTGTTGGTGTGCCATTTGACATGGAAGTATCCATAAGTCCACCAGGTCGTTTGTTGCGCAGCTTCTCTTCCCGCCTCCATTTTGCACGACGATTTGAAAACCAAACCTGAAAGATTCATAGCAGTTCATAGTACTGTGCAGCTGCTCACAGGCACAGAAATGGCTCAGATGTTGAATTCAGCGCTAATCAAGATAAATGACTATGAAGTGGGGGTATTGCTTTTGCACCTGCCCTTGGTTATAAGGCTACGGGTATGGTTTGGCCTCTTTAACACTGAACCAGCGACTATTGCGCAGATCGCTAACTACACTGACGACCGAAGACTGAAAAGGACAGGCGGACAGGCGGACAGGTTGAGAGCGTTATCAGGATGAGTCTGAGTGACACTCAGTCGCGCAACGGTTCGTCACTGACAGCGCTTAGTCCCAAGGTTGCCGGAAACTCTTCACGCCGCTCTCGGCATGCTAGTTGCACCGTTAACTTGATGAAGCGCTTTTCTTTTAAAGATGCGACGTGTCTGCCGAGCTGTTGAAAAAAGGCATCAGAATTGCTCTTGGACCGCTAACTTGGGGGCCGTCGGGATGATTTTATCATGCGACTGCCCAGAGTACTTCGTAATCGTTTACTATGATATACGACGTGCGCGAAATCATTGTGGGCAGAATGTTACGCAACCGTTATGGGCCATTATGTCTGAGAGTAGAGTAAAGGGAACGGGAAAGGAATTTTACTTGCGAACGCAAAAAAAAGTAAGTATACCAGAATTACCTGTATCCGTGCTTCTGGAAGGCCGATCTTCTGGGCTAGTCGCTCTCGAGCGAAAACGTCAGGATAATGAGTTCGTTCAAATTCTGAAACAATTGCTATTGCATTGCCTTGGAAATCACGCTAAGAAAACAGGCAAATGATCGCCGGTGTCTCGAGTGTTTGTTCCAAGAGTAGAAAACATGTTGCGCTGCGCAATAACGAGAAACGTCTTCCAACAAAGGACTCAAGTGTGTTCAATTGAGTTCACTTTGTACTGGCCGCTGAGAATGCAGGAGAAGGCGAAAATGAAGTAATAATCAAACATATTTGTTCAGTATACCTTTTTCGAGAGCTTCAATCTGCTCCTGGCTGAAAGACGTGCGGTTCCTCTGCAGTTTTCGTTTGAGACGCATTCTCGCAGCCGCATCCTCGTCCGGGTCATTCGGTGGCTTTTGATCGTCATCTAAAACAGGAAGGATGACCATATAAATGTGAGCGTCCACCAACAAGCGCTGACGCTTCAGCACTGCCAGCATAGTGCACAGTTCCGGTCGCTTGTCTCGTCTTCACTAGACCCATTAGATTATGCGGAAGCCGCTGGTGTCGACCGGAAGGCATTCAAGCGCTATTAGCGCATAGCTTCCTGTCGCGCCTCGCCTAATGTAGTGTTATTCCAACGACGTAATTCAATCAGTTATCGGACAGATCGTATACACAATTCGTTTCACTCGTTCGCAACTCTTAATTCGATTATATGCGTGCGGTTGTCAGTTAGTGCAATCAGCACTCGCAGTCAAATTGTTCGAAATCTTAGGCGGCTACAAGCGACGAGCGGAGGTGCAAGCGAGAAGCCGAGCTGCTGAGGCCGAGGAAGAGGAGGAACGTGAGAGGCACTACCTTTGAGGGGTCTAGTGCGAGCTGCTGGCCTCCTTGTTGGAGGCTTGAGGGGCAAGGTGGCGGCCGATATCATCTCTCGACAGAGACTGATAGCGTGGAGGCGGGTCGGGCAGGCTGGCGGCTGGCTGGAGGATGCTGGTGGTGTTGGTGGTGGTGGTGGAGCGGCCGCCGTAAAACGGCCAGCGAACTGGTAGGGCGCGCGCTCTCAGCAGCCAGTAAATACTCGTGAGTCACTTCTTTGCAAGCAGAATATCAACTGGGGTAATGAACTTCTCCAAGAAGCGCGGGACACTGCAGTTTGAGAAGCATGTAGCATGGCTGATAATCAGAAAGAGGGTCACCTAGCGCAAAGGATGTACTTTAAGTAACAGCGTTCTTTGGCTCAAGCGCTTCTCCCCTCTAGAGCTTTATGAGCTTTATGAGCGAGGAAGAGCAAGATTAACTTCAAGACCTTGATCAGAAAAAGTGCTGATCAACGCACCTTCGGAGGCATGAAAGCAGTTAAAGTTTATGTGTCTCAACCACGCGCAACCGCATAAACAGCAGTAATCATGATTGTTTAATAAAACGAAAAAGGACTGTATTGCTTAACTCGAACTGAAAGGGACCTGTCACATCGCGGCACGACGTCCGTCAGTGAATAGTGCGGGTCGACATGACGATGCATTTTCTGTACAGCAGCTTTCCGACTTCAGACGTACAGACCGTGCGGAAAACGGAAGCCGGAGACGAGGCTGGACAACGTGCGGAAACACGCGCGTCCACTGTCACAAGCAATCTGGATCACTTGAGCAAAAACTGATGTGCGGCGCGCGCGATGAGAGAGAGGAACGAAGGGAAACCGGGCCGGACTCCGCCTACCACCGTAATCCACCAACCAGCAGCGAGTTCGACCATCTGCGCCAGCAACACGCACGCACACCCACACCCATAAGCAGTACAAGAAGACTGTAAGAAAGTTGCTGGCTCCAATTACATACCTCACACAAAAAAAAATCTGATGGAATTCTCGAATCGAGCCTGCTAGTGCGACGGAGTCCACGGCCGAGTTTTTATTGAGAGAAGGGTACGAGAAATTTTCCCAATGAGATAAGTTAACTGCAGTCACGAATGTACTGTTACGTCCTTCCTCACGGTCATATTCTTTCATTATCACTGATTCTCTATCAGAGACCCAGTCATGCGCAAAATTGGTGCGCTGCGCATTACTGTGTAATAATTAGAACAATACCCTTCATTTGGAGATTTGTTTGTGGTAAAGGGGAGTGAAACCAACAGTTGTGAAGTTAATAAAGAGGTCTTGCAATATTCGAATATTAAAATTTCAATTCTTGAAAAGGTGTCTATAATAGGAATAAATAATATGGAAGATTGGAAGCGTCCTAAAACGCTTGCTCCAGCTGATTGCATCAATAAAGAATTGTATTGCAAGTTTAGCTACATGAAATAACAAATTTTAAATATTATATTAACGAGAACTCCTCCTTTAATCAATTCGATAATGGTCACCTTGCGGTACGCAATACGCTTGGACACCCCGCTGTTTGCTATCGTCAAAAAGAGGACTGGGAATCAAATTTGTAGCTTGTCCTTCTCTCAAGCTAAATTTGAGGTCTACTATCATAACGCTAGCTGATGCATACAGGTCAGGATTGATTGTTTATGTTTGCCACAGCCTTGATTATTCTCATTTTACTGAAATAGTGCTTTATCCACTTTAATTCCTTGAAAGACGAATTGAAGGAGCAGCGGGAGATTAGGTATAAAAAAATAACTGTCGACATTTAGTTTACGATTTTTCTGTTTTCATAACTTGGGAATAATAGAAATGCTTGGTGTAAAATTGAGCGCAGTAAGTAGAAAATCTTCAAAGAATTACAAAGCGCTCTGTGCCGATAGTAACATAAGACACTATCAAGTCACATTGTTCCCTTGATTTAGACTAGACCAGCAAAAAATTGTTTTTCAATAAATAACTAGTATAGTTGAAAACTTCAGATATAAAACAGTTCAAACTGAAACATTTCCTCATTATAGCAAAAAACACCTTTGCTGATTACAGCAAATTATCTGGAAGTTTCGTCCAGCCTTGGATTATTCCCTGACACGAAAAACGGAGAATAAGAGCGTAGCATAAACAGATCACATAAATGTTCAAGTATGCTTGTTTATGGAATTTAGGTTGAGGCTTGCTGCTAAAAGAACAGGGTTTTCTATTGTTAGAAAATTTAGAAGTAACACTCACAGAGTTTCAGCAGAGGGTCCAGCAAATTCTGATTTTGAATTCTGTAATTTAGCTTTGCAATACAAAACTACTCACAAAAAATGCAAACGCCTACAGTATACTTCCAAAGCATACGAACTTGAAGACTGTGAGTTTCGCGCAACCTTCACTTGGCTACTGTAGCCGGCGTTTGCAACCGGTTTCGTCCGACCGTGCCTAATTGCCGAACTAATAATATTTGTCTTAAAGTCATTGCCAATTGTACAAAGCATCCAAAAGGAGCAAATTCGGATGCTATGGCAGGTAGGAGGAAAAAGCACCGGTTGGACAAGTGCAAAATCAAATTTCGGAATGAGTTTTTGGACAGATGCTCGCATTGTGAAAGCAGATGTAAATCTAGTATTGGTTATAGCCAAAAAATTATCAATATATGCGGAATCAACTAGCAACTTCAACTAGCAATAGGTGCGAGGTATGCTAAGGCACACAATCGCGATCTTCAACAGAACGCTGGGAAACTGTTCATAAACTGTACAGTAAAATTGAATTTTCCAGGAAAGGACGTGCATTTGCTTTTCAAAATTGCAATACATTTTAGTCCTTGCGCATGAGATAGAATCTGACAGCAAAGGAAGAGATGAACGTTCTGAAAAGATATTCGGGCAGTAAAAACAGCACTGCATTTAAACAATTGTGACATGCTATATATGCTTTTGATTTCTTCGGTGCAAAATGCGTTGAAGTCATTTTCCGTAGACCGCAGTATTGATAACGTGAAAGATTGACATCTCAGAAAGTATGAAGAAGCTGTCGATGGTTAAACCGTCGAGAGGACATCAAATCGCCAGCGCAGCAAATCCCGGACTAGGGGTGGGATGAGAGAGGGAAACCTGACCATGCGATTTTGACGAGAGCATCGAACAAAAGTGCAGAATGCCGGACTCGGGCGGATACGCAGCCTTACGGACGCATGCTAGCGGAGCCGAGCCAAGTGTCAGGTGTTCGTCGTGGAAGTAAGCGTGGGAAGGACGGTAATGTACCGGCGATAGTGTCATGTTGCATCACGGGTCGCCGACTATCAGCCCATACATCGGCCATTCAGCCGGATGACGATGCGCACTCGCCGGCTATTAACCCGCCGGTAAGCATCCCAGCTGGCAGCAGCTCGTCGTCGCTGTTCACCTCCGCCCATCCGTGGGCCTGCACCTCGGTTCCGAACGGCTACGTGAGGATGAGGACGCGACATTGCAGCAAATCGTCGGGAGCATTCCTCACTCAAAAGTTGTGGCTGCTGCGTCGATGGGAATTTCCGTAGCCATGAAAAACAATCCGTTTTTCGATCAGATACGTATTCGAGCACATCTCGAAATGTGTGGCTCCGCACAGCTTGTTGAGACGGATAACATGTAGAGTCCGCACTTCTTTGCGTTACAAGCTCATCGCGAGGATCGTTTACCACCACCAAGGCAGATAATGCTCCTCTCACTGTTCTGTGCTTTGAAAAGTCAGGTTTATGTTTAGCTGATTGCTGTGAGAAAGTTTTGCCTTAATTGCCCTCCAAGAAACGGTCATGTATTTGAACTCCATGATGGAACCGCATTGATGCAGAGAAACATCTGGGAAAACTACGATGTTTATTCTTGCTATTCAAAGGTCCAAGTTGCGTTGCCAGCTTGAGCCCCTATTTGTGAGCCAAACTGTGCTTTCGAACAGAGTGAAGTGACCACCCATTTCAAACTGAGACAAATTCACAGCGCTTTCGGCGCTACACTCATGATTTCAAGCGCTTCTATTATAGATGAGATCTTATCGTATCTACCAAAGTCTGCGCTAAGTTGCATTTTTGATCCCCATTCGTACCTGGATCTTTCTTAGTTTCCACCGGAGCTTGATGAGGAAGAGAGGAGAAGGGAGTGAGGCCGACTCCAGGCATAGGCATTGTTGTCCACTGGTTATACCACTGGCCCGAGTATCTGGAATAGGAATTGTGTAAAATGAACGTAACGAAGTCCGAGTTTAGGCCTGTTAGGGATGCTTTTGTAGATTTTGTGAATGCAAAGGGTTAGTTCTTGGAGAGGAAGATTCCTATCAAATTTAGGATCAAGAAGCAGCAAGTTTGAGAATGTTGATTTGGCACCGTAACATCAGCGAAATGCGAGCGATTAGAGCAAGGTGTGCGGAAGATGTCTAAGTGGGCCCAACCCGACCACTTAGCGCCACATAGAAGAATTGACCACCTGGCTAAGAGAGCGAGAGTTCAATGGTATAACGATTCAAGAAGCTAAATTTCAGCATAATTCGTATCGATGAAACCTTGACAAGCAATCACTGTTACTAATAATTTGTAGGTGAATGGAAGCTTTGTGCATTTAGATTGTTCTTTTTCAGCGCGTTTGCTCTCCAACATGGGACGAATTGTGGCTTGTAGTAGTTGGTACTCTTGCCATATCCTATCAAGGACGATCTATCTGTTGGAGAAGTAAAGGCGCATGCTTAGGCGAAGGTACCCATAATACAGCACCAACAGTTTCGAAGTAAAACTTAGAATTTAGCTAAAAACGGTTTCAAAAAATGACTAAGAAGCACTGTTGCTAGTTTTGAAATGAACGAAGATTTAGTCAGATGAACTTACGCGAGATTTGGATCGACGAATCGAAGCCGATCGTAGAAGTCGGTTTGCATGGCTTGCTGCTCTTTGCGCGCGGCCAAGTTGCGTAGCACTCGATTGATGGAGGAAACCTGAACCAGAATACGCTAATTCAACTTTATGGACTTTAGAGATGAGCTTGACACGTATGCGCTAAGAATGCAAATACTGATAGAACTCTCTCAAATGGGCCAAAATGCGCTCATTTTGGAATAAATTCTGGGAATTTTCCAAGCCGCTAGTTCTGTACAGTGATGAAAGACAGGGAAAACGTGAGGGATCACGTCCTTGAGGGGTATTGAGAGTCTCGACGCAACGAAGCCTGAAGATGCTTATCGCGTCCGAGTGTAAAGTTGGCGGCCAAACACGCTTGTTACAACGCGATGATGTGTCTTACGGTAGGGCGAACTGTTGGAGAATTGGTATCGAAGAAAACAAAAGTAGGTACGGTAGTCGGACGAGCACAAGAACACTACGTAAAAGGCGATTACTGCACATAAACACTATACCATCAAATCTCCATTAATTTAGTGGCAATCGGTAAAGAACAACAAAGAAGCAAACAGGACTCCTCTCAGCCTCCAGCGAGATTCGGCAAAATAATACGAAGATCGAGACTCTTCACGGGGAACAGCGCATGCTGAGCAAGTAATTCGAACATTCAAGTCGTAGACGCTCGTAGACGCAACCCACATCACGTCGAACCACCCAAAGACTTCGTTCTGTTTTTCATGGATTTCTACGCGACATCATCCAGGCGGACAGTAAGTGCATTTTACACACCGGTCCCCTAAACGACTGATGGGATGGATGCACACATACACATCACACGCCCACAGTCACGGTAATGAGAACTTGAAAGCGATAGAAGAATGGCGAGGAAGCAATTGCAAATTTAATTAAGTTTAGTGTTGTATACCATGATCTGGGACGTATTGAGTAGCTTGAGATGGTCGGCATTTGAACTGGCGAGCTGCAGTGCAAACTTGGAAAAAATGGAGCATGCTAATCGTAGAAGCCCAATCATTCAATGTTAGTAGTTTGGATTTTATCAGTTTTGAAAGAGAAACATAAAGAGAAACATACGCTTGGTATCGTGTCCTGAGAGCAGATATGGTCGGTGAGCAGCTTGTCGCGAATTTCCCAAGCAAATATGCTAGGCTGTTCTCGTTTGTACTCCTCAATCTTCTCGACAACATTGTTGGTGGCTACTCTGAAAAAAATCAGCATAAAAATTTCAACATTCGACACATTTGTCATAATTAGAACAAAATTTTCATGTCATCATCTCTGCGCAGATGGTTTGGCAGCAAAATATACCACTACCACTATACTACCCATTACCTCCTGCGCAGAACCAGCATCTCGCAAACGGAAGTATTGCGACTAGGTGTACACCGATATTAAGATAGTGAAGATTCCAGAAAAAAGAGAATTGATAGTTCGACGTTATCGGATCTTGTTACTGTCCACATGTGCTTAGCGCGAGTTTAGATTTTCATAGATAAAGCTTAAATGTAAGAAATCGAAGTCCCCAGCTTGTTCCATCCTAGTTTTTTTACACATACACTCTCAGTATATCAACTAACACGCTACAGATTTGTTATAGTCCACTACAGCCTGTAATTTCTTTTAACGCTTACTGAGCCATGTCCAAGGACTAGAGTTCATAGATAAATTTTACATGCCCAACTACCAGATCTGGTAACGGAGCGTCGTGTTCAGTTCAACAGCGCCTATTGATTTTAGCGCGATAATGGAGGACTCTGACTTGCCTAGGAAAGCATTGTGGAAAGGGACTTCATACTGTCGTTTGTTAAGATAGACGACATATCCGCTTGTAAGATTTTTGTATTTTTTAAGAAGCTGTTTCTGTAAGACGGAAGCATTTTGTAGCTTTCTATTTTTCTTGAGGTTATCCTGTTGCTAGCTTCAGCCGTTTTCACATCTCTTAAGAACCCTTCTCCCTTTCTCGCCTCTATTCACTCTGATATCAATGCAGTAGAAACCTCCCTCGCTCCTAGATTGCGAGATGCCCACAAACAAGTAAAATTGAATTTCTCGGAACTAAGTCCCGACTACACATCCCGCGCAAAAACTGGAAGACATGGTGTTGACCTGATGGTTCCTACATACTTGGCAAAAATAATCCCAGTTGTAGCAAATGGATTAGCAAGCGACAATATATTGGATTGGTCGATCACTTATGTAGCACATTCATTCATGATTATGTTTGCTCTTTCGGCTTATCAGACATGAAAAGACTCCTTCAAATCTTCCTACTGATCGTCCGGAATGAGTTAGATGGCATGTATCAATCCAAACAAAACTATCTCAGCAATGCATCATCCTTCTTTATCCTCCTCCACCGTTGACAGTATGTCCCCTTGCCGTGCAACTCCCATTTTCTTTCAATCAGAAAAGAACTATCTCAAATCTATTCTTAGATCCGGTATTTTACTGGCAGAAAACAATGATGTGGTCACATGTATTTTTCTATGTACTTCTCTTACAGTAGCCTTCCTATCATCTACGGACTGTCCATGACGCGAAACGACACCCACGCTGCTGAAAACAAGTTTCTTCCAGGTCACCTGACAAAGTCGAAAGAGGGATTTTTTGAGTTTGGTAACTTATGCAGTAGAAAGCATAGGGCGATTAGGAGCAAAACAGGTATTTTAAACAAGTATTGTCAAGCTTTGGCAGCTTTAATGAAGCTATCATTCATGGCAGAAAAAAAAATTGGGGATCAACTTTTCAAAATGTCAAATTGGCTTACTGCTTTTCCCCGCTCTTGGGCGAGCACCTTCAAATATACCTGAAAATCTCTTCAAAACAGTCAGAATCGTTTATGACAAGATAGCGACTAAAGATAGCTTACTTTCTAGTGGCGTTTGGTACTGTTTTACATGCTCTATATTTCTTTATCTGAAATCAGTGCATTCGGGAATTGCGTTTTACAATCGGTTAATGATATAAAGACCATTTCCTATTTTACACTGCAAAAAGACATCACAAAGATTTCGCATGCAAAATTTTTTGCCATAGTCCTAATTCTTATGAACCGTTACCTAATTCATACTCCATAATTGTTGATATGAAGCATGTGAGTTGAGCTGCCACTGCCATGACTTCAACATCAAACTTATTATCAAAAGACAACTCTAGCAAAATGTGGCGTTCAGTAAAACGAACTCTTGACAAAAATGTCTATCATACGTGACAGTTCTGCGTTGATCAGTGAATCTGTTACATTACCGTCATCGAGGGAGACGAAATAGATCCCAGCGGCGTTAATTTCATTTTTTTCACTTTTCTCATAAAAACTTCTGTTGAAAACAACCTTATAGGGGCATGACCGCTGTCATGACAATTATGAGCTAATTCTAAAGAGTTAGCTGACGACAAGTCTTGTTCACGAACTTCTAAGCAATTCAGTTTCGGTTAATTGGCACTGGCATGTGGGCAAGCTTGTTTGTTGATAGAGAGATCAATAAGGTTTGACTGAGTAAGATTTAGTAATTTACAGCATATAACCGAAAGCAACGTTAGACATCTTTCTATCTGTGATAGCTCTTGACTCTTCGTTTTCAGTTCAGCCTGCCCTCCCCCTCCCCCCTTCCCTTTCGCGCTGTGTGTAAAAATGATCTATTAAGTCTGTCCGAAGGTTATTTCCGTTTTTGACTTATCATAAAAACGCAATTTTCATGTTAGATGAACTAGAAATTGGCGCATAATCAGTATTTTATGATGTATTAGAAGCACTTCAAATTTCCAGAAAGGTACGTCGGCTTGCTCTATCTTATCATTTTAAAAAAGATTTAAAACATAGATGTTGGAGGTTAGAAACCGTGAAAATGCAACTACAGGCGTTTTCGTGAAAATTACAGTCAAGTCTTCATCACATGAGGTGAAACTTAGCAAATGATAGCTTCAGATAGTTATTAAGCTAGAGCACTTTGTTTGGCATTCTTGAGCGCATAGCCCTAAATTGGGCTGTTATGTCTTCTGGAGAAATCGCGACTCTTGACCGTCTTCTCCTTTTTGCTATCCAACTGGTAGAAAGCTTCAGTTTACGAACACCCGACGCACTTCATTTTCGAGTCAAAAGGTCAGCCTTGAGGCGGAGACCCCAAGTTTTGCAATGACGCAAGATGCAAATCTTTTTAGTAAAAATTAGCCTTGGAAAACGTATGATGTTTTAGTCTCATTTCACTATTAAACAAAGGATCTGAAAGAGTTATCGCTTTGAAAATTCGTAGTGTGAAAGAGGAAAGAAAAATTGCAATCCATTTCTTCAAATCAGCGCAAAATCTTCAGGAATCTCCGAATTTGCGAATAAATATATGCAACCTACAACCGCTCAACCTCCCCCCTCCCCTCCCCCCCCCCGCCCCCTCGCCCCCCCCCCCCCCCGAACTACCCAGCATAACTAGTAGTGTCAATTGAAGAAGTATTAGCTTGCCTTGGTTTTGATCCTCCAATGGCTCGTGGGCGGATCGTACCTGATTCATAGTATCGACACAGTATCTTCGAAACGCATCTGAAACAAAATCACGTTGAATTAAATCTTGCTGATTAAAATACGCGGTAATCTTTTGCTCGAATAAGAGTCCACAGATTAGTCAATAGTGGTCAATTGGTCTCTTTTAAAAAAGGGTCAGCTGTACATTCCTTTTCCGAAATCACTTATGCGACGGAAAATGAGTACTAAGCTACCTTTTAATCATCGAACTACTCCCTTGCGCGATTTCGGTATTTATGCTTTGGACTGAAAGCATTTTTTCTTAGCTTATCACATCATTTTTTCGTCGATGCTGCTCCGTTGTCTGTTGTGTCTCGCGTAGATTACAAGCTACTTCAGCAATTAGTATCAAATTTGATTGAGTGAACAGTTATAAATTGCTAATATTTACTATCATTGTATACAGGGTGTCCCAAAAAAATGTGCACACTGTTTGATTGTAAATAACTCTCTCGTGGTGAAGTATTTCGAGAAGCTTTAAGTACCATTTTGTAGAGCGAGGATCAACTTAGATTTGCAGTGTAGAGCGGATCGCCGATCTCTCATTCTTACTGTGGGATTACGGTAGAAACTTTGAAGAGGGTTTTGAGCCATGAAAGGCCATATTTTGTTCCAAAAAGGAACCAAAACAACCTGAAAAGTCTCACACTGGGCTAACTAGAGTTGCTGATCCTAAATGTGAAGTTCGCAACTCTTCGTAATGCTTCGTTAAAAAATTATGCGAGGTAAGCAGTAGCAGACGTTTTTTAAGTGTTCCTAAAAAGTGCGGTTACACCGTTTAGAAAGCTTCTCAACCTTGTAAAGAGTTGGGTATTGAACGCAGGGTCCATAAAAACCCTATTACATAAATTTCCACATTTTTTTGAAAATTTTTGAAACGGCCGCTTTTTTCACAGTGACACCATATGTATGAAGTTTCTACCGTACTCCTACAGTAAGAATGAGCGATCGGCAATTCGCTCTATACAGTAAATCTAAGTTGAACCTCGCTCTACAAAATGGTACCTAAAGCTTCTAGAAACACTTTACTACAAGAGAGTTATTTACAATCAAACAGTGTGCACATTTTTTTGGGACACCCTGTATAATGTAAAAATAAGCTACTTTTAATTCTTGTAAATCAACTCCTGTCGTTGTTGCCTGCCAGGTCCCATTTTTGTACAACCAACAGAATTTATGATTTTAGAATGGCCTTTCAGGAGGAGAAGTCGTTCGACTTTGGCAGGAAAAAACAAAGCTACATCGGTGGTGATATAAAGTCTATAGACAGCAAAACATATATTTTCTAACAGTGGAGAATAAGACGAATGATGCCTTCGCGTCGCCCTACCTGCTCATCCAACTTACACTTTTCAAATTCGAATTCACCAACGTACTCTAGGCACATGCTAACATGGAATCCCATAGAATCAGCTTCAGAATAATCCAATAAGCCTTAGCTTCACAAGTCAAAAATTTACTACTTCTCTCTACCATACAGATGAGTAAGAACTCATCACCTAAGTGACCTCGGTCCGTCATGTCCGTCTGATAGGCGGCGAGTGTGATCGGATAGCGTGAAGAGGACGTCAACGCCGATGTGAGAGTGGTCTGCCGCCATCGGCGGGCTCTCTCTTTCCTTTCCTCACCGCATCAATAGGCCGGTTTGCAAGGGTAAGCCCCCTGATAAGATCTAAACCTCATCGAATTCTCAATGCAAACGTATCAGCAGTGGGGATTCCACGCGGCCCTACTAACAATATCATCACGGCAGGGGCAGTATGAAATTTTTCTTCGAGTCTCCCAATGAATGGACGAAGCGTTAGTTACGCCATTCGAAAAAAAAATTTGGGATACTGTACAATGTTGCAGGACTATGATTTCAATTTTGAGAGAAAGGCCGCAGCCATCCCGGAAAAAACTTCCTTACCAAGCTTGGCCTTTTAAACCAACTTCTCAAAAAGTTTTCAGCTATTTACAATTGATGAAAGTCATTTGCACCACTTTCACATTTCGCGGCTCATTCTCGGAATAAACAGAATATCAGACTTGTTGTAACGGTTGTTGAGGCCTGAATACTGCCTCAAATTATTTTAGCACACCCTATAGATGTCTTCAATGTTTGAAACTTATTAAATTGTTTAGTCTCGCACAGATTGTTTTGAAGATCCACAAACCATTCCATTTTCCATAACTTACTTTCCGAGTTTTAATTAAAGACCAAATTAGCCACTTCTTGCATAGCAAATATCTTTTGAAAGTACAAGCAAATGAAGAGAAACTCTAGAGTCGTGTATTTTTTCAACTCTTGGTCGTAAAATATTGAGTGATTTCAAGTTCAAGAAATCAGATCTCCATTGTTTTTGCAACCCACTTTTACCGAGTAGAAAAATTTTGTGCTGCAAAAGTTTCTACCAGAAGCTATGGTTCTTGGACTTTTTAGGAAGCTCCGAGGTACCAATTGATGAAGCAGAGCAAGCTCTTTATGGTGGCTTCAGATAATTGCAAAAAGTTTGACACGAGGTAAATGTGGAGGAAGATCTAAAAAATTTTGAATACCAAAATAATCAGAACATTATCTAAAATTCCTGAATTTTCAGCCTGATCACGTACGATATACACGATACACGTTCATAGATACACCAGCCGCACTTTTCTTCAAAGTGTAAACTAGAAGAAAAATGTGCTAAAAATATGAGATTGTAGCCTTTTCATCATGTGTTTGTGGTATAAAATTTCTTATGTCGGAATGCTCCAAAATTGCATTCACTAGAGCATGCCAGTTTTTATCTTCTCAACTTTTGGCCAAGGAAATTCGGTAAGTGTACAAATGAATACTTGATGCGATAAGTAACTTGAGCAAGTGGAAAATTCGTAAGGCTTTTTTGGTCAAAAATGGATTTTTGGACATCTGGAAACTTTGAGGTTTTCATTGGTAGAGCTTGCTTTGCTCCATCGAATCACTTTTAATTAGTTTTCATGTCTCTTCTGCAAAAAACATGCATTAATTTTGCATTACTCTAATAATCGGTTGACTAAGTGGCGCATGCAGGCAATTTTCAATTATTTTGCTCAATATTTTGAATTTTTTGTACAAGAATTCATGAAGTAGTGTTTACGCTTTTTTTTCATAGATGGCACGAATGCTCTTTAACAATCTATTGATCTTAACCGCAATTTCAATATCATAATCGATAAAACATGATCCTGAAATAAAAGTCACATGGTAATTATCGTGTATAGCGGTCCTAGAACACAATCACATTAGCTACCATGATTTTTGCCTTTCATCATGAGACTGCGGTAAATCCTACACTGCCTCATTTGAGAATGAATGTTATTTCGTAATCAGCTCTATTTCAGAGATATTTAAATAAGGGTTGTGAATTTGGCTAAGGGAAAAACGCGTTCAAGATGACAAAAATAAAGGCAGTGCTCATCAATGAATGTGTGAAGCTTATTACAAAAGTGGGGAAATTTGGTTTTTAGCCATCATCTTTGTGCTAGTTACGGAAAGTTTTCAAAGAGATACAAACAATGAAGGAAGACAGAATAAAGGAGCTTGTATAAGTGTCTGAATTGCTCTGATGAGTTCCCTAAAACGCATCGTGGAGTTGGTTTCCATAAAGAAAGAGCTTCCATTTCTTCAAAGAACCACTGACATTTTTTTTTCGCAAAGACATAAAACGATGGACAAGGACTAATAGCAAAAAAAAGCTGAAGTACATTCTAACATTTTTTAATAACTGCTGGTAACCAAGAGAAATCTACTGGCTTTATATGAAAAGTATTTGCCAACACATTTAGGTTATGCGAGACCCAACCAGCACCTAATGGGAGCCTCAAGTTTCGCCAAACAGAAGTACACAGCAGAGAAGAGTGTTCTAAAAGAGAGTCCCCTCAAGATGCCGCTTTCGACGTCCAAGCAACTTATCGTTTGAGAAGTCGGTATGCAATCTCTCTGAGTCGTATCGCAAAAATAAACAAAAAGTAGTTCATAATGAAGAATTTTGAGCTTCAAACCGTTTTACATCTTCGCAAAAGATATGGTACTAGATTACTTAGTGGTAATGCTTATATAATCATTAACACGATAGATCCATAGAAAATTTTAGTGTGTGAGAGTTTAGTTCATAAAAACAACTTATTTGTCTCGAACCATTTGCCAAAGCAAGTAAATGCACACGTTGCTAAAATGGACTTGTTTCCAAATGTGACAGTATTTGAGAGTGATATGCGAGGGAATCTCAGTGAATAATTAGGAAGTTTGCTTGAAACACTTGTCTTTTTTCCATCATATAGGTAAATGCAGAAATATGTCTTGCAGCTTTGAATCAGTGTTCATTATCTATGTTTTTTCTTCAACCTGTATCGATGTAGATGACATTTTGATCTTATTCCTTTGATTGAGTGGAAAAACAGTGAAAGATCGCAGAACCCCAATTCTTATTCGTAAAGAGACGGAGAATTATGTCTATAAGATGTATTGAAAAGACTGCGATGTGAATTAGGGCGCTGAGTACATCGAGCACAAAATTCCAACTGACCATTGTAAAATTTCTCGAAAAAGAAACGCAAGAAGGTTAAGGTAACCGGGAACAACAAAGAGTAGTAGATCTGCACTGCTGCACGCTGTCAAGTTTGAAAATCCGAAACATAGCTTTAAAAATCCTAAGGAATGAAGAAGATTTGGTTGAATTTGCCCCTTTCGGAAGCTTTTCGAAAAGATTGATTTGAAGGCTTTTAAAGGAGAAAGGAAGTTGCACATGCGATCTAATTTAGTCATTGATCATTCGATCGAAATTTCTTTGTTCAGCATTGATTGAAAAAACTTTTCGAAATGTCCTGACCATTACAAATGTGTATAATCGTACAGCAGTGAAGGCCAAATCACTAGTGTCCTATAAACTCAAAAATCTTTAGGTGCATCCGCCAGTATGTAGTGTTAAATGATGTCGATATAGACAGAAAAAAATGTGGAATCTCATGCCAGTGTCCAAACATCAACAAGGATGGAGTAAGAACCGGCCAAACATTTTTGATACGAGTCAGTTGAAGATTGATTGATCTTTATTTGATGCACAATAACGCATTTTGATCTCCACTTTTTTGTTGATTTTAATGAAGGTGAAGATAAGGTTAATTCAATTTGAGATGCAAAATTGCAATGCCGAAAATAAAGTTGATAATATACGCTTGGATACTTGTCCTGAAGAAGTTGGCCACATAATAAAAAACATTTGAAAATATGTTTAGTATCAAGCGAAAGCGCTTTTGTTGAATATCTACTCACCCATTCGACACTTGCAGAATTCTACTGATATCACATGGACGTGCTCCTCCATGAGCTAATTCGACAATTTTCTGCCTTGTTGTGTCAGGAAGAGGCCGACCATTTACGAAAACCCCACCAAGCTGATTCACGCCGGTATGTCCTGCATCTGAAATCGTGCTCTGCTCTCACCAAATACGGAAGATTTTACAAAATTTGATAAGTGCAGTGCATTTTTGGTGGAGGTGCAAAATGTGAGGGATAGTGGAAAGTGCGAACAAGGGAAAACTTCGAAAAACTGAGAGATAGTTGGAAAGAAGATGAAGTTTTGCATAGCAAGCAACTGTTTGATTCAATGTGCAGATGATTTCAAAGTGTAAATAAACACCGGCTTTAATCTTGAAAAGAAGAAAAAAATGATACTAGTTTATGCACACAAGTTTGAACGTTGCAGAAAGTGTTGCTCAAGTAGTCAAACATTGAGCTTTGATTATTTTCGTGGCTTTAGCAAGTGAGTAAAAAATCGATGCATGCAACAAAAAGCCAGAATTCATCAATCCAAAAATGAAAACACAGACGAAAGGATGTTGCACAGGCGCAAATCATAAATCATTGCTGAATATTTCTAGGAAGAAGGAAGTTCTTTTCATCACAATGTCAGAGTTAATTTGAAGTGTAGTGGTGTCAAAACTAAAATTCTCAATAAATTATCATACATTAGAGATATGGCATTTTACATCAACTTCGGAAAAGTTGGAAGCAATCGTAGTTGAGTTAGATAGTGTTCTGGTTTCTTTTGCGTTCACCAAATAGTCCCGAATTCCTTCTATTGTTGGGAAGAGCACAACGTTCTTCAATGTTGTCTATACGGTGCTCCTCAGTTGCCAAATGGAAGATGACGAATTACTAGGATTAGGCCAAACGCTTCCATATTCCGACAATGGCACAACCATCTAAAGCTGACATTCTGTGACCTGAATCGCTCAACGCACTTCACACCTCAGCAAGGCTGACGCTTTTTTTCAGTATTACGCACTCGAGTCTCGTTTGTAGAATGCTGCAGCAAAGCCAATTTCTGTTTCCACGCAACACGTAGAGGCCACAATTATACAGTCATTCTCTACTATGTTATTGTAGGTCTGGATTGAGCATAATTAAATTTTATGCACGGGTCAGTGATCGCCGTGGGTGAGTCAGATAAGGTGCCGCGACGCTGAGTCGGAAGTCAGAGAGCACTTTGCACGGAGTAGACGCAGACATGAATACGGGCCATTTCGAGCTCTACTTATGAACTGCTGTCCAGACGGCAACACCTTCTCCAGAAACAAAATCGGCTCATGTAATTGAGGAAGAGGTTGATATTCTTGCTCTAGATTTATCTGTTTGCCCCAAGACAGATGAAAAGGCGCAGATTTTGGCGGACTGCGAAAACTGCTTGGCTTTCGAACTTTCAACGAATCGAGAAAATCTGCTGCTAATTTCTAGTTGCAGCGCAATTTCAATTTTCGCACCTATCATTATATCACTTCTAGTTGACTAGAATGTTTGCAAATGAAGTGATGAACATTCGAACGTATAATGGATTCAGTCACTCGGCAAATCCGGGTTGACTATGTACGCCTTTCAATAAAAAAGTTCCTCGAAGAGTGAAAATATTGCACAGAAAAAAATGGTTTACATTTTCGCAGAATGTTATGTCATGTCAAATACGTTTTCAGAACAAAAAATACTTAAAAGCTTACTACGTCCTCCTCGTTGTTTATTGAATTAGCTATGGTAGAAACAGCTAATTTCATTGCATGTGTAGAAAAAATGATAAGTTTCTCACATCATACATGGAGGACGTTCGAGGTCAAGTTGGACATAAGACGCGCTCATCATGACATGAACGAAAGCTCTCATACAAAGTTCTGCTCCCATCCCGTTCTCCCACACTATTCCAGAACTTGCAAATTTGTCGATGTGGTGCAGACAAAAGTTGCAGGACCCCTCAATTCTACATTCTATCAATAAAAGGTGCGCAGTCCAATACTTTTCTGCGGTAGTAAAATGAGGTGTTTGGGCAACAAGAAGAGGTTTTTCGCAATTAAATGGAGATTACCATAATGCGGCCATAAAAAAGTGTTTTTGAGTTAAAACATTCAAATATATTTGAGAAGGGGTGTACGCTCCATTCCGAATTCGTATCAATGTCATGTCAGACAATACCCGATTACAGTTACGTCAGTGGCAAAGAGCAATCTGTGTATGGGAGCGCAAAAGGAGCCGCCTTGGAATTAGCATAATTCTGGCATTAGCTACCCAGCTCGGGGCCCATATGGGTCCTGGACAACGAACGTCAAATTCACCACGGGGCGTCATGCGATGGTTCTCTTCAGTAGCGCTAAGCTTGCGCAACTCCTGGAATCGACGCAAGTGGGCCAACATTTGCCTACTTGATAGGAATCTGTGAGTCACTTGGCATGGATCCACTTCCCAGCTAAAGCGTCCAAAAACCCCGCAAAGCAGCGAGAAATCGCAATTGGAGCGGCAGTGGGTGTCGTCAACTGCATTACAATTGTTCAGAAAGCGCTTCGCTATAATGCCCAGCGGTGTTTCCTGAGTGAATGTGCGCATGTAGGTGTGAAATCGGTCGCCCCGGAAGAACTATTATTCACCTCGAAATAAGTCGGACACTGACGAAAGACCAAGTAACACACTAGGTCCTGTAGGATGAGAAATGTGGGAAATCAATCTGCGAAAGCGTGCGTTAATCCATAGACCCCTCGAATGATGCAACTAGGCGTTCGAAACTTCATCTTCGACCATGCATTTCGCGCCGTTACCTGCAAGAACGATCTGTTCGGCCTCGCCTGCAACAATAACCGTTCACTTTTATGGGATATCCCCAGCTGAGGTCGCTGTGAAGAGCGCTTTCAACACCAAAACTGCCCGCATGCCTTCGCATCGTCGCCGTCAGAATCAGCGCTAAGACCTGTTAGTAATAACGCTAAGATATGTGCGGAATTTGTGGCATTGCTCGAATTGGATCCACGGAAGCGTCGGCAACTGATCGAGCAGCTCGTGCTCATGCTCGTGCCTATGTAATGCATGCGGCACACCTCTCATTATTCATAATTTTCATAGAAATGGATCGATGGGGGTGGCACAATGAGATAACTGGATGTGTCGACGATGCAATTCAACGCGCTATCTGCAGTTGACACTCGTGGCGCTGATACGGTAGCACGTGATTACGCAGAAACGGCGGAATTCACCCTTGCATGGGAGAAACACTCCCACTTTCCCTTTACGAATAGAACAGAATAGGTAGAGGAATAATAGGAATAGGAATAATCTGTCTCAATATTAGAAAGCAATCGTCAGGAAAATTATGAAAACAAATCAATATGTATGATTAAAGGTGGCAAAGCGGGCTTAAAAATGGGATGAGTAACGAAAAAGGTGCAATTCTGCAATCAGGAGTTAGTGCTGCTGGAGTGGGTGGCATGGCACTATTTCAGAGCGCTTACTGGGATGCCAGAAATGCAAAACATTGAGTATTGGCTGGCGAATGGCCGTCGCCTTGCCATAAACAGCGGCTGATGCTCCCTCCAGCAACGGACTATCCTCATTTTGAGCATGCGGGTTTGTATGTGCAGAAAAAAAGAGCTCGAAAAAGATGGCAACCGCCACCAACCTCTACCTGCAGATGGCATTTTTAACTTGATGTCGATCGTCATAGAATTGCAGTGACGTTGAGCGCTCCAGTGCGGCAATGAGATTTCTGAAACGAGAAAGTTTATGCAATCCTAAATACAAGTTCATAAAGATTTCAGTGAATATGTGCGTACTCCACAATCCCTGAATTTTGTATCAAGCTTTTATCACCTTGGAAAATTCTGATTGTACCTGAGAGAGATTAGGCGACGTAACATAATAGGACAAAAGCCCTCAGAACGGAGAAGTTGTTTCATGAAGCGAGACGGAATGGATTAGTACTGGACGAGGAGGGTAGCGAGACTCAGTCTCTTGCAGCTGAGTTGCTCTCATTCCACGCGTGAAATCAAATGATTCTACTGAAGTGAAAGACCTAATCAGGCGTAGTGTTGCGCGGGGCGAAGGGGCGAACACTCATTGTAGCACATTGCTCCGTCTGACTCTGTTGCCGTTGACGTCTTCTTCTACTCATGTTTATTTTGCTAACGATTGCGAGTTACTAATCAATTCCGGTCGTACTCATTAACTTAATCCGAGAGGCGCTCATCATTTGACAGACTGCTTAAGCTTGTCACAAACACAGATTTGCAAAAGAACGCAACACAACGGAACGGAAAGCATTTCATTTTCGAAGGACATAAGATTTAGTACATTGTTAAAGCGTGTTAGAACGATTAAAGAGGATGAATCAAAAGTATAGCGTAGTGGGCGGTGTTGGGCCAATGCCAGCACGCGTGCGACCGTACTCTAGCCCGCCCATTTCACTGCGCTCTCCTGCTCTTGCTAGCCACCTCGCTGTCTCAATGAGCCAATTATCAATTCAATTCTCGCATATCGTCAGATTTTCAACCACTTGCGACCAGGACCAGCTATGACAGCACCGACCGACTTAGTCAGCTCATCTTGCCGACTCTGTTTTGAATTAATGACTAGTGTCCAGCGATGCGTGCTGAGTTGGTCGTCGCCGAAGAAGCAACAAACACGTTATCATTTCGACCTGCATTTTGCTACGCTTTCCTAGTTTCCTTTACTCGCTGCTAGCATTAGTACTCAAATTACTTGGCAGGAATGTTCGGGGCTTTGTCGGAATCCATGACGAAGGGGGATTAAGAACGGATCAGCGCTACTCCAAGTGATGAATGACCCACCTCAATTGCAACAACGCAAAGTGTTGATGTATTACCGAGAAACATCTGGGATGTTTGGAATGGCAAAACTACGAGCACGTTGCCAACTTTCGCAAGCTTCCTTCTAAGCCAGTAAAACTGGTTGCTTAGGCAGTCGCACTTTCAGAATCGATTAGCAGTGCCGTCGGCTTCAGCAAAACAAATTTTTGGGAAGTCTAAGGGAATGCGAAGGGGGATCGTCTTGATCTTCCTCTTCTTGTTTGTTACCAAAGGGATTGGCTAAGCACTTTTGCAACATCAAAGCTTACTTAGGTAGTGTATAGATTGGAAATAGACCTGTACACTGATTCGGATGCATGTTTTCCTTGTACGTGATAATACGAGCTTTCTTCAAATCGAAATACTGTTCAGTGAAATACCGCGCCTGTGCAGACATTGATTTCCAGATTTAGATGCAAAATCTTTTTCTCAAGTAAGCAGGAAAGAGAGAAGACATTAGTTACTACAGGAATCTTAGCTATTTCATTTAATTTTGTATAGATTTCAAATTTTAAAGAGTTTTCGTATTTATTTGGGCTGGATATCCTTTCATTTTAATTTTGGTTGCAAGGATGCAGGATTTCCCTGAAAAACTTTCTCCTTAAAAGCTATCAACAAAAACTTTGATTACATAGAAAACTGCTGCTTGACAAACTGCGAAATTTTCGTGGTAGAAGGACCGGGTGCACACAAGAGCTTCTGTGTGCACGTGCAATAGTGTCGTGGATGTGTTGTATGTGTATCTCACAGCACTGTCGCTATCGTGTCCATCTAAATACCTTATCTCATCTCGCGACACTCGTCTTCCCTCCTACTGTATCGAGCGACAGTACGGACAGATAGCTCGTCAGCGATGATGCGATAATTGCTCAACCAACTCCTGTCCTGTTGACAAATATGAGCCGGAAACATTCTGGGGTTGGCATTGATTAGTAACTGAGGACATTCCGCTGCTGGCAGGGCAGGTATGGGCAAGTTCGGTTTCTTTAACGCTTTGTACGTCGCTGTCGATTGCTTGTCCTTTCTAGGCGATGCCGCAAATCGAATCAAGCAATCATCGATGCTGTTATCGAATGCCGTGACAGTTTCAAAATGATGTCTCCTCTTTCTTTTGCAGGGTTGGGCAGCTACTGAACGAAACATTCTCAAACCAAGTGGTTAGGAATCACATTGTAAGCGCAAAATGCCTGTGCCTCCCCGAGGGCTTAGCGGAAAAAATACCAACTGATGAAATGTTGCAGGGATCGATTTCAGCTGGATGTTGGCGCAAAATTGGAAGCAATTGCTAATGTTGCACTGCATTTGACACCTCGCAATTTGCAGCTATGCATAGAAGGATGAGACCATCTGCCGTCGTGACAGCACAATTACATAACGCGACGAGATATGTGTACGCCGCGACATGTTGCCTGACGCAAACTTGCAGAACATCATGCGGCTGCAAATCTAGTATCGCAATCAGAGTACATTACGTCATCAGTCATATTCTAATGCTCGCGTTTGAGTTGTCTTTCTTATTCGTGCATGAATAAATGATGATAGAGCATCAGTAATTTCCAGTGTTTAGTAAGGTACTTTCAAAAAGTTTCGTATTATTTTTTTACACAGAATTCAAGCAAAAAGCTGAATACTGTTTTCCATTTTTTGTACAATATAACTAACAAACAAAGAAAAGGAGTTAGATCTACAAAAAGTAGCTTTCGATGGAGCAAGATAACCACTTGCTATGGCTTTAGCAATCAGATAGAATAGTCTTTTTTCTTGTCAAAAAATTGCCATCATTGGATAATTTGAAAGTCTCGTATAACTCTGGGCTGTGACATGCCAGCAGCAAGCCAATTGCTGAATTTCCTACTGCAAATTAAATGCTAAAAAACAGAATTTCTAACTTACTGATCTCTGACATCATTTACGTCAAATGGAGTGTTTGAACTCGAATATCGTTTGCTCGAATTGGACATGTGGCATTCTCAAGGAAGAGCGAGAGTCAATTAGTATTGGTATCAAAGAGCACAACGGAACCCGAAGGAGTTAATGAGGGTGGAAGGAAGAACCTCTACCGTTGGAAGTGCAAATGGAACGACTGCTTGGAATAATAGTCGCTATGGAGAGTATCCTGGAACTTTTATAAGAACACTGATACGGATTTTATTTGATGAGTGGAATAATGAATTGGGGAGTACTGACGTTATAAGAGAAACTTCCTTTTTTGAGTGAATCGGAGTACTTGAGTTTTTTTTAAAATATGGTTGTAAACGCTGCATAAATCAGCAATAGCTTACATGGTGGAAACTCAATTTCATGACTTAATATATTCTGGAAGCCCCTGATAAGATAGTATAAAAGAACGACAGTCATAGGCATAAGTGAAACATTCCTACAAGACGCTTGGTCCCATCAAAGTCAACTAAATCATTTTTGGTAACGCACGGAGCTTTCTTGTAAGCAGATAGCATTGATTCATCAGATAACGATCACTGTCATCACTACCATGAAACAACTATGATAAAACGTTTCATATCTTCTACACAGCTGTCACAACAGCTATGTTGGGGTGTATGGTACCGCATGAATAACGTTTAGTTCGAAAAATTTTTGTAGAAAAAGAAAATTCATATTGTATTTCTAGTGTCTCGCAGCACTGTATGTATTACAAGTGCAAAATGCGCTCAAGCAAAAAGTAAATGATTGAAGGAAACATATGGTATAATAAACTGCCATGAAATTGTGATTATTCAAATCTGCTTCAATTTCCAAATCAGCATCCCACAGGAAGATTTGAAAGGTTTGTTAAAATTGCAAAATGCTCCCGGCTTTCGAATCATTTTTGCATACACCCAACCACCCAACTTGGCTGCGGTTCGCACTGTTCAATTTTTTCTTGATCTGGATGGTTGGGATGTGCTCAAAAATAAAATTTACTGGTTTATACCAACCCGCGCGGACCAAGAGCGTTCGAAGCAGGATGTAATGAGAAGAAAATGAAGCAAACATTGCAGTCTCCACATTTCTTCCTTCAAAATTGCAATGCCTAATTGTATGATATAGCATCCGGATTCTTCTACTGCAGCTTCGAAAATCTTTTATCAAATTTGGTGGAATTTTTTAAGGTAAGTCAGTTCCGTCACGCTGTGCATATGTCATACATAATAGTTTGCCGTTAACCCCTAATTGGCCAAGTTTGACATCGGCTGTTCAAAGGCTACAAATTGGGATTATCCACCGTCTAACGTATGTACGTTGTCGGAGACAAAGCAGCCGACCCTCAATTTTCGAATTAGTGCAGCCAGGTAGAATGGCTAAGCTAGCTCGTCATCAGTCAAGAGCTGCAGCAGTTATGGTAGTGATTTGCGCAATAGCATATTAACTGGGTGTTTTAAAAGGTATTAAGGTGGCGGTGTAACAACAAAATGAGGGCAAATTTCAATTTCTCACCAAATCCGAATTACGGCTTATGCTATATGAGTGTTTGGAACACGGCAGATAAAAAGTATGACTAAATAATTATAGAACTGAACAAAAGGGTGGCTTTGCGAGGATGTTATCTGCTGTGACTGCTGTCAGGTACATTGTCAAAGCTTCTTGATCCCGAATCAATGCTAAGTTTCCCATTCGAAAATTTTACAGCGTATGGCATTTCACACATGGTGCAAAATCGGTCTCTGCGCTGGTATTCGTGAATATATTTCGGTCCATGTTTTAGCAAAAGCCATCAAACTCAGCAAGTGGTAACCTCAAACAGCTAATGCAAGCTAATGCACATTATCTGGTACTTTTTGAAGACTCGCGTAGCACCAAACTGGAGTTCTGAGTTGGTGACAGCCGGAAAAAATCGCGCCTCTTGACCGTCTCCCATACCAGTGCAGATATCTGGTGAGTTGCTTGATGTAACGATGCCTATGAGGTAAACTTGCACATATCTACAACCACAAATAGGATATGTAGAACCTTCAAAAACAAAAAAAACGACAGCAGAATTCAGCTTCGCAAACTACTCCAGTCCTAATGCTTTGCACTTCATATCCCGTTAAAATAAAGCATGTACTGCAGTAGTGACATTCTTAGGTAAATTTTCTCACAGCGAACTCATGCTTAGCGTTTATCTACGATCTATTATTGCTGCGACGTTCATTGCATCAGCACATGAAGTCGGTACCAGCACTTAGATGCTATCAGCAGCTCATTAGTGGGCTCATTACGCCACAATTGCCGGATATTGAAGTTTTTCCTTAAGGGCCCACATAGATACTGAGCTTGATCATTTTCCTATTTCATGCAATTTCTACGATTTACTGTGAGCTGGTTTTTTACTGAATCTCATCCTCAAGAATGCGAATCTTATTTTTTCACCATGCAAAATTCGATTACTTACAAAACTAATACTAATGTTTTTGGCTTGACATCCATAATTGTATACTGGTTTCAGCTAGATGAAGGACGGTTAGTTTGCTAGCTTCCTATGACTTTCAAAGGCTATATCGCACTAAGCAGCTACGAAACATTTTTCAACGTATTTGGGTAACATACATTTGAACTACTGAAATCGCACAAATACTTCCATGCAGAACGTACCGTGAAGCATGAATATGATCATTCTCGGAAAGTTGCAATAAATTCATGATGCGGAGTAAATTGGATTTTATGATCTTCGACATACATGCAAACTTACTTCTCACGCAGTTTTAGGTGCATGCACTTCATGCACCTCTAAAGAATTGAATTGATTGTTCAGGTATCTTGTCAGCCTGTGCTGACAAGTTTTGAAGTCTCAGGCCTTCCGAGGTTTCATGCGCTCTAACTAAAATAATTCCAGAATGCAGCATTGTATGATGTTTGAAGTATGCTTTCTTTATCATGTACGAAAAAAATAATTGTTGCAAAGTTGCACATGGCAGGATTAGCGCGTGTGATTGTAAATTATTGATGTTGTCTTTCTATTCTCAAGCAAACTTTATGGTCTGCAGTAATATGCAGCAAATTGACTGTTACACAAAAAGGTGGAATGCTCATATTGCGAAAAATTACCCATTAAGGACTAATAAAATTAATCAAGTAGTGAGCAGATTTTGAGCATGATCATTTGATTCATCACATTAGCTGTACAATCACATTAGTCTCATTGGGGGATACTGTAATTCAATTGGCCGCTACTGTAACACACAGGAAATGTGTCGACGCGCGAGCGAATGCGCGGGATCCTAATGAGAGCAAATATTATTGTTGCGGTTGGACATGGGAAGAGGATTACCGGCTCGGGTTGTTTGAAATGTGAGTACACACCTATAATGTGCCAAGGACGCTCGTTATTGTAATGAGACCATGAAGGCACATCCGATGGTAATGCCTGTTACCGGCTACTTTGCGTGGCTCTAGGTTAATTGAGTGGGATGGGCAATTATTACCAAAGACACTGAGCAAAGTCTCCGACAGCTTGCAAAAACTTAGGACGTAACTGATGATCCAAGATTTCAGAGCAAGTATGGTATCAAAACGTAGAACTGATAGAAACAGTAATCAAGCGACAGCCAAGAATTCTGCACCCCATGAAAATCGACTCTTAAGCACAAAAAGGTGACGCTTACTGTCTACGGAAGAGACTTTGTTTCTTCGCGACATCCAAAACATTTCGCACAACAGGCCAATCTCATTGTCACATAAGAAGTTGTTAGAGGTTTTTGTACAGTGAACAAAAGGAATGTAAAGAGATGTTACAAAGATTTGCTACTCTATCCACGTTTTTGCCTTCTACCAAAAAAACCTCTATGGGGCAGCACGTGATACCACTAACAATAAAATGCTAGAAATGGCAAGGTTCCTGATTTTCTTGTGCAGAAGTCTGGGAGATACACGTCCTCATAGCTATAGCGTTATACTTGAAAACTGTAAAGGTAATTACTGAAATGGGAGAATCAAACGATTAGCCATTTGGTGATCTTTCGCTCTTGAATCTTTTAGCTACAGAAATACCGTATACCAATGGTGACGAATGTGCGTGGCACATCGTGACAAGAATATGAATCAAGCTTCTGGTGATGATGAATGTAGCTTGAGGCCTTGAACATGAAAATTTGATGTAGCTTGACTTTAGCAACAGTCAAGAAGAGGGTATATTCGCGCGCTTACCCTATGCTTATACGTAACAGCCATGACTTGTAATCAGATTGAAGGATAATTCGTAAATGACTAGGTTGGACGAACACGGCCGAAAAATGGAATCGTTGTGGTTGACAAAGGCCATCAAATAAACGGGCGATTTCGAACAAGACTGGGAACGGGCGCGCAACATGATGTGGTCTGGCACAATGGAGAGGTCGAACAACGAAAGCTCAACTTATGCACATCGTTAAGATGTTCAACCTCTGGCCGATACTGCTAAGACCTAGTTTCCGTGACTGATCTTCGGCTGGTCTACGGTTATCGCTGCAGTGAGGCTTACTACACGATACCATTACCGAAATTCGATGTTAAACTCGAGATTGGAGATTTTGCATAGGAACTTCAGCTTTCTTTACATAGGTGGCATAACTTGAGAGTGCTTCGAGGAGAACGCTTGAGAGTTGTCTCTGTCTTCTAATAGAGCGCTCGTCATGAGAATGATTCCATCTAACATTTAGCTTACAAACAAGCGCGATCCTTGAATTATCATAGTAATTGGGTTAATAGGTAAGTGATACCAAAAATTCCTTGGAGTACAGATTCACTGGATAACGAAGGAAATGACCATTGTTAGCTCGCGATTTTCAATTCATATGAGCGCTGAGGTATCTGCAGTGACTACGCAGCATATTGTCTTAAGAGATGACAAAAATGCGAGCCTCAATGTGAGGCGTAGTGTCATGGTGTGGCAGCTTCCCGAGGATCGAGGGAGCCATGGAGTTGTTTATGAAGCCACCAAAGAGACAGTCTCTAGCAAGCTCAGCTTGATGCAAGAGTCAAGTATGAGATCTTTGCTCAAGATGATTAAACTAACAGTAGCACTAATTGGTATTCGTATAGCAGTGATAATGAGAGGCAGTAGGACGATCTTGATAAGCAAAGGAAGGCATTATGCTGTACAGATTTTTAGTATCTCACAATGTGGAGAAAATTGTATAAATGTTCGTACCTGGGCAATAGAGGAGTCATTTTGAAGGTGAGATAAGAACTTAGGTAATGGCAGCAAGAGTGAGCAACGGAGTGTTGTAGAGAACACGCTCGACTAGCTGCCGCCCCGTATATACCGCTTCAGGGCTGTGGAGCGCACTGACGCGTCTTTGTAATGACCGCTCACCTCTCTTGACGCTCGGCCGCTCCTCGTCGAAACACCGTGAAATCCCGCCAAGTCGTTCGTAAGCAAGTGGCCAGCCTCGCCGAGCCTGCCGCCCAATCGCCAGCCGGCGAGGGCGGCGCCAGCTGAGCGGCGGCCAATCGCGGCAGAGTGCCAGACAGCCGCAGCCGGCCAACTACGGTCAGACCCAATCCGATTAGTTGAGCACAGGTGATAAAGTGGAAGTTATGCGAAACAAATGTTTAGTCAGAGGTAAAATCGCCATTGTGAGCCGATTTGAATCAGCCGTAGAGCGTTTCAGCATTCCACCATCATGAACCAGATTGCTTTAGGTCAATATTTACGGGAAAGTAATAATACTGACATTCTTGTCCTGCACTCATGCATGACCCTGCACGCAAGAAGCTCACCTCAAAAAGCATCTCTATTTGTGACTCAATTAGAGAGGCGTTAAAATAACTCTCAGCAGGCTTAGATGAAGAGACCGTCCTTTGAAGTCGACTGAATCACCTTGTCGAAGTATGTCTGCTCCCTGCTAATGTGATTCATTTACATTCTAAGCACATTTGAAGAGCCCTGTGGATCAAGTTTTCGATCGTAACCTACAATATCGTGCTTTGTGACTAGTTTAGCCTCCAAAAGATTGTATAACTTTTATTTTGGATGACGTTTCGCCCACTCGCCTGTAAGAGCCGGTAAGCGAGGAACAAATGAGATCTATCCTCACACTTGTCTCATAAAATGCAAGGAACAGATACGAAGATGACTAGAAAACGGAAACGATGCTGCCGAGTAATATTAACAGCCCACCTGATACTTACAAGCCGAGTGCGGGTCACGGACCACTACTGACATTGAAGTTCCAAAGAAAGCCGAACGTGGAGAATTCACAAACTTTCATAATTTGTCTACTCTCGCTCTTGCGATTTGTCCACTCTAAATAAAGCTCCTTCGTTTTGTAATGATACTACGTGTTCATTATTGCTAACAAATACTTTGAATGCTCTAAGGATAGCCGTTCTGCGTAGTCGATTAACTTCTTAAGCCTTTGAGCAAATTCATTGGAGCAATAGTTACTTCATAGTCATTGTCCCCTTCTTTTCTTGTTACTTTCTTAGTTTTGAATGTTGCCTGCTTGATAGTAGAATACGCTTGATAGACATCATATTCATACTTTATTGGAGATGAAAGACATAAACGACAGTTGCCCGTCAAACCAAATTTAGTGTGCCGACGTTATACGGTAGCCAATTTGTGCGAGTGTGTCCGGGTGGTCGCGAATATAATTTGTAGAGAGTCAATTTATGTCGGAAGTGAGGTGGGCTGTATTTCGCTTCACTGAACACGCCGACAAACAACGTGCCAGGGCTCCATCGAGTGTGCAAGGCGCTGACCAGTTGAATGTGCTCTTCTAGTGAAGGTTTTATGGTTTCGACTAAAGATTAGCGTCGTTTTTGGCAGATGAAGGGATCATCTTCAAATTATCCAACGTTGAATCCCTTTCGACCTAGAAGTATGGGAAACGCTGGGTTCATATGAACTTTGACATGCGTAGCAAGAGAATGATATGTCTTTCATAGTATAATTGGGACAATAGAGAAATCTGCCTCTTTTCAACAGCTGATGACCAGCCATAGCTTAAGCGAACACACTGTAGAACAATCGTAACAATTGCTTGGCGCGCGACTTCGCGTTCCTAGTAAAGTCTAGGCGACCGTATCCAAGTTGTGTAAGATGTGCAGATATCATATGTTCTGGAATGTAAGACATTCCCTACGCAATCATTTCACACTCGAGTTATCTTGAATCAAACGCTGCGCATTTTCCAGCTTCTTGGATCTCGGTCGAAAAACGTGCGTAGATGTTTTGTGCTGGCGAAAAAGTTCACGAACGGAGGTCAGCAAGTTTGTGACGACTACGTGCTTCTTGTTTCAGTCAGGGTCGCAGTTTCTGCCGTATGTGGCCCTGCTCGTCTCGATCACTTCTGTTGTCCACTTGTTGAGTGCAGCGTAGTGTCCAGCCGACATGTACTCCAATTAAATTGTTATGCCTGCACGCGTCTGAGGGCGGTCGGCAATTTGTAGTACGGCCAGTTTATTTCAGGTTGAATGAGTGCCCAATATTAACAAGCGCAACATGTCGACTCTTCACTTCGGGTAATCCGTCAGACTCTTCGAGCTCCGGCGCAGAACCGCCTCTGCATACAAAGCAAATTAGGTTTAGAATAGCAGGTATACAAAAAAACCTAGAGAATACAGTAGATACCCAGTTCACGCTTCGTGAATTTTCTGCACAAAAACGAGTTTTATTCGCACCTCGAGATGAATTGAGACCGAGTTTCTGTCCTGTTTCGTTGTGTGCACTAACACGACATGACATAGTTCATATCCTATTCTAGCAGAACTACTAAGCCGAACAGCAACATATGGCACCTCTGCCCCAACACATGTACCGTGCTAATCCCTAAATTACAAGCTAACTGCAGGAAAATCGTACACCATTTCCAAAGCTGTGCACGGTCGAAAAAAAAAAGAAGACAGCATTAGGGAGCACTGACAACACTTAAGACTCTGAGCAGCAGAGATAGAACTCAGTAGAGAAGGAAGCAAACTAAACTCTTCTAGGATAGCATTTAACTGAGTAAAACGGCGGTCATGTGAAACAGTTTGATCATACACACTAGTATCAACTTGATCAACCTCTGATTTTTTCGTTTCACACATGAAATTATTTTTAGAAAACAAACGTTGTTGTTGCAAAGATAATATTTGCGAACATAACAGGACTGTATCTTAACTGGAAGCATTAAAGCATCATGATTTTTTCATTTCATTCTTCTCTTTTGATGGAATATCAATTATGCCGGATCATTATAGTAATCTCGATTACATTTCTGATGACTTTGTTTTCAGGCTATTTCCTTCGCTGTAAAAAAACCACTTTCACTGTGCAAAACACCCAACTTATTTTTTCGTTTAGATGTCCTCAAAGCCGTACGAATGTGACGTAAATCTCATACATTTAAGCGTATGGTCATTGACTTCTTATACCGCTTGCTTTCATTTGAAAAGCCATAAAAGTATATAGAGGTAATCTGAAGCTGCCGTTTTCTATCTTTGAGTTCATCTTTGTACCCGGCTATTTTGTCTTGAGCTGGTTGGATGTCAGATTTAGCGTACGCTATTCGAAGCAGCAACATTGTTTTTGTAGTATAGCATACAGTAGACAAATAATGGACGAGATGTTGGATTTCGCGGTCCACAGCACATGCATTGTGCACATGCGCTTGCTGTGACTAAGCAAGCTTAATGAGGGTGGCAAATGAGAGACGAATACGGAAACCATCGTGTGTAGTGACAGAGATGTGAGTACGCAAATGTCAACACAAACGCGTATGTGCCGATACTTTATCCACCTATGAATTTCGGTTGTCTTCAACAGAAAAAAAATGGTTTAGATACATACATTCGATACCTACACATATATATGTATAGTAGCCCAGTTGATCCTCAAATAAGAGCTGCTCCAATCAAAGAAGAAAACATATGAAAAATGCAACAACCGAAAGCTTGCACAATGAAATGCTTAAGTGTATGGGTTTGAAATGATGACCCGACTGAGTTCTCGTGAACGTACGTACATACCACAAAGGAAAGACATCGTTGGCTAACACAGCATAATCTGTGCTTACTATGAGAGCGACTTTGTCATTTAAGTGACTAAACAATCAACAGCGGAATGAGAGCGGTTACAGAGTTGATAAACTGGGATGACACTTGACGCAAGTGTACAAGCAACACCAAAAAAAAGGAAAGTATAATTATTTTGGCAGTTGACGGAGCTGATTACGGCGTAGCTTTGAATACAGATGCACTGGGGACGGAAATAAAGTCATCATTGAAGAACGAATTATGAAGATCTGTTTGGAAGATCAGCAAGGGTGAAAGCCCGGATTCATAGAACCGACGATTCACATGCACCGCATACCCACTTTGCACTCGGGTCCTCCTCCAGCAAGGCGAATGCTCTTGGAAGCAAACCAGTGCAATTCTGAAATAGAGAGTAGGAGAAGGATGCGGTATACTGGCATCATCGCTTTCGGACCGGAACTTTAAGGCAGTCTATATCAAGTGTTACCACGTTCTGTGGAAGACGATTCGGACGTTTGCTAAACTGTAATCTCTCATGTTCGAATCTTTGTAAAAAATTAGTGAATAACGAAAAACCGCTTTCAGCCCTATGGAGAAGTATATTTTGCCATTGACTGACATCTCATTACCCCCTCTCAAAGTGGCCTTTCCCAATGTGATGTATATCATCCGAAAACTGATTATGGAACGGCCTTCCATGTCTGCCAACAACTACATGGGCGACGTGAAAGGCTGGTACTCCAATTGATTACTACAGTTATGTAGATGATATGAATTAGCAGAAAAAGCTAAGGTCCCCAAAGTCACATCCTATTTGTCCTAAATGGAATTTCTTGAATATGAGGAAGTTGGGAAGAGAGGTCAGAAACTACTTTGCTATCTCGGCTTACAAATAAGCGACCAAACTAATAACACCTTATTCGAACAAATGTCTGCAATTTCGCCAAGCGAACCGCTCAGCAAACATAGACGATCAGAAATCTCCATCCCAAGCAGGCCATTACACTATTTTGCTGAGAAAGGCCACTTGAGTCACTGCATTCTCTTGTAAGCACAACAAACCAACTCTTACTACCGGGGAAAGATAACTGTTGACTGCCCTTTGATATTTGACACTTAAAGCGCTGATCTCAAAAGTGTGTTCGTTTAGTAAACCGTATCTCCTCGTATCTGACGTGTTTGCACAGGAGTACGAGTACTGTCGATAAGTAAAGGTATAGTCTAGCGGTTAGTGCTGTCGCTTATTGCGCAATGGACGCCTGTTTGATCTCTTTCATGCAATTAGTTCTGCGTTCGCTTTTACAAGGGCTATTTTTCCTCAAAAAAGCGTTCCGCAGATAACGAACATCGTTTCGAGATCAGCGTTAGACGACCATTGTGCTGTTTAACATTCAGAACGCCATGGCCATCAATTATCCTTCCTTTGTGAAACCTATATTTGCAATGGACTAAAATAATACACATTCCCCAAAAAAAATGAATTTCCTTTGCTACAAAAGGCTAGGAAGAGATGTTATTGAGAAATTTGCGAACTTTGATGGCAACGCAAAGATGTCAAACTAGAAAAGCAAAAGAGATTTAGTCCCCAGGCTAGTACTTAAACAATATATATATATATATATATATATATAAGATATATGGTGCCAAAATGTCATGTAAAATAACATATTTCTTTACTTTGCTACTATCACATCGTTAAGCACTGCTCAGTATTTTATGAATGTATGGCGAGAGAATTAGATTTATTGAGCAATAATCACGTCTACTCCAGGTGTATTTGAGATCAACCTTAGCAGTTCTGCACATAAAAGATCCTGATCTAACGAAAGAAGCTCTCAAATAAAGCACTTTACATATGAAAGCTGCGAAATACATGTCTATAGTCAGCCTCTGACTAGCTCTTAGCCTTGCACAGCACAGATGCAAAAAAGTTCTAGGCACTACCACCTTGACTATCGATATTGAAGCATGCTTAGAGAGTGATTACAGTTGGAACTCAGCTTCCTTGGTACAATAAACGGATCGCAATATATCAAAGTATTATTTACAAATGGATGTAACTTGACAAAAGCAATCTTGCACGCGATGATGATGGTTAGCCGAATTCGAAACATGTCCATTCTAGGTGGCCAAAATGCGAATCAGCGATTGCCGCTCAACAAGGGAACAAGCATATGCTCAACTCAGGGGTCCAGGTGTGAGCCACACATTGTTCATTTACGCATCCGTGCACAAGAAGAAGCTTACTGCAAAAGCGATGTCCTACGTTGGAATAACTCAAATCTGGCTAGAGACTACACTAAATCACGTGATTTCCGTTCTACGGATATGCTTATTTTCAAACTGTGGTAAACGCTACATCGGATAAGATGGCGTACAAATGAAGTGTCAGATATGTGAGAGTGGGTCGACTTGTTAGTTAGTGTAGCAGAGCCCAAACACAGTAAAAATCTTTTGAAATGTTCCTTATGATAAGATGTTGCCTATTTATGATGTGTAATAGCTGGAAACCTTACGATAATTTTACACGAGTGAAAAAGAAAGTGGTCTTCATTGCGACAGTTGCTTAGTGTAATATCGCTATTTTTGCTATGCAGTGGAAATTCCGAATTTGAATTGTACCAGACTCTTTCTCTACTTGGTGCAGTAGTCTTTGTGATATATTTCTATGATCTTAAACGGTTTTTGCAATCATGATAGTAACTTTGTCGAGGACAAAAGTAGATTTTATTTCCCAAATTAATCGCCCTTATTTTGAAAACTGTGAAACCATTTAGGCAAAAGAAAGAACCTCAACCGAAGTAATATTTTTGGAAAACGACTCGCAATCTCGCACTGCGTCTTGCGCGGTGTAGGCATGTCTTGACGAGGGAAGGAAGTCGGTCGAAGTGGCCTTCCAAGACATGATGTTCCAAGCTTTTGTAGAACTTGGAACGCTGAATTCAAATCTGCCTTCGCCCGTTACGGTTTCCGAGCGAGGAGTTTTGAAGGTTTTTGTGAGCAAAAAGTTAAATGCAAAATTAGTATAAAATCGGTCGTAACATTTTTTCTGCTTAACCGATAGTCGGGTCACTCAATGCGATGAATATTATTCTTGATTCAAATATACCAACTCGCAGCTGCCTCATCTGAACGTTAGGTAGGTGCCAGACTAACCGATTGCCTACTTCAGCAGGATGCTGCGCGACTAATAAGATGTTATTTGGCGTCATGTTGGACGGAAATCAGTGGAGTCTGCGATGCTCGAAACAACAGTAGTTTTGGAGAGGTGATTAAAAAGCCTCGCAGAAGGAGAATAGTATAGAAAGGTCTCAATAGTGAGCAATTTTTTGTTGTAGCGCAGTCGCGCACGTCGACTAGATTCCCCTAAGATATGACATCAAATGACAGTAGCTGCGCCGCGTCCTGCTGAAGCAGGACGATCGGTTAGTCTGGCGCCTACCTTAGGAAAAGGTACGACCGATGCTATACTAATTTTGCATTTAACTTTTTACGCACAAAAATCTTCATAACTCCTTGCCCAGAAGCCCGCAGATAGCAAAGGTAGACTTGAAATTAGCGTTCCAAGCTCTACAAAATAGCGGGGAGGCCCCCCGACCGCCCCCCCCCCCGAGAATGGGTCGCGAAATTTTGAAAGTTATTAGTTTGTAACAGAATCAATGCAGGTTTTTCGCACTTCTTTTTCAATGTGCTGATTCAAAATAAAATTCCATTGTCTCAAAAAACTATGCATATCACCTGGAAGCATTCTTCTTTTAGTTTCGTGTAGTTTCGTAAGCATGCTTTCGTTTCGAGAGTAGTGGATTCATCTTACGTGCTTCGAATTCAAAAGCGTAAATCTGAATTATTTTCTTTTCAAACTCTTTGCTCTAAATTCACCGCGAAAAATCGGAATTTTTCGCAAACTGACGTAATGTTTGCATGTGACCTTGCTACAAAATGCAAATTGAAGCAGATTTTTTAGAAGCTTCCAGAATGAGAAGTCTTATTTTAAAACCAAACAGGCGCTGCTATCATTCTGCGGCGTATAAAAATCCTAAGTACGAAGCAAAGGCAGAGCTCTCGTCCTGAGCACAAAGAATAGGGACAGTACATTTGATGACGAAAAGAAACGGAAGTCTTTATTAGCTCTGGCGGCGAGAAAATTCAAAACACAGCAAAAAAGCACTTTTTCCGCCTTTTCAGAGCAATTGATAATAATGAGTGATCACGAATTTTTTGCGATATTTTCTAACAAGAATTTTTTCGCAAATTCAAAACTCAACGCTGCTGCACAACCAACTGTTGTCTACACATTGAGTGAAATTTGTATCATTCTACTGAACTGTGCAGCAAGTTATGGCCTCTCAAACTGAAGGTTTTCCAAGAGAAATTTTGGCAATCTTTAAGCTATAAAATTTTCCTCAGTGAAGCTACGACGACATAGTAGTGCGTACCAAATTCCGAAAGGTTTGCTGATTGCAGTAGGCTTTATTGGAAACGGACTATTTATGTGAAGATAATTTGCATTAATTCTGTTACAACCCAATACTTATGGGTTATAAAAACGTGTAAGTGACTCTAATATTTAGGGATCATAGGCAGCCAAAATTTTGAGAAGCATCCCAAAAATTTTATCGGAGTGCGTGGTTAACGCCACGCACCTTCACTTAAAAAAAGCTTTTGTCGCCCCCTCCCTCCCCCCCCCCGGTCCGAAATCCTGGGACCGCCAAAGTGTACATCTCACCTAAACAGGCCATTTCCAACAACCTTCCTTCCCTTGTGAGAGCGGAGTTGACGGTCAGGCAAAACAAATCTACATGTTAGAATGGAGAAACCTTAATAAGTGGAATTTGTTGAGTCACATAATATCCGACAGTGATACCACCATTTCACCTAATCGCAGGTGCGAAGAAGACATGCCAAGTTTTTTCAAGTTTCAATTACTTTGACGTACTCTTGTCGCGGAAACACTCTTTTCTCACGATATGTGTACTAGCAAGAACACTATGTTTTCCACAAACTTGAGCCAAAGTGCAAGGAACTTCCCTGATCGGACATGTATCTTAGCACAGGGTTGCACGTGCGTCCTACTTTTTCCTGTACTCCTCTTAAAAACTTTGAACCACGTATGATTGCGCTGATCACGAGATATTGCCCACATAAGCGTTTCTCTTTCACTAAAATCGTATACAAAGTTGATTTGGCTTGACGAAAACACTTTGATCAGGATAATAAGTCTGTGAGAAAACGATGCATGCAGTGGCAAAGTCCTACAGTGGACGATTGCTTTTATGCAAATCTGATAGCTATTCTTCTGGGAAATATAATCATGACAAGATGATAACCAAAATTAGAAAGTAGGGCTTGTGGAATGAAGCTTTGAATAGCTGAAGTACACAAATGTGACTGCATGTACTTTTCGATAGAAACATTGTCGAGCCATGTCACAATCGCTAGATTCACTTTCACTCCCTAGACAAATGATAATCAATGAAGCTAACCTGATGAAATAAGCGCATACATGGACCGTTACATTGTACAGATCGATTTGTTGGCTGAAAGCAGAAGTATATTTGCCATACATTCCATACCATTTGTTGAATAGGTGAAAAACTGTTTTTTATCGCGCACTGCTTGAGAGGTTTTTCGCCATGCATGACTCTTTTTTCTTCTAGAGTGTGGTTAGAGTACGGCAAGTTACATAAGGATTTCATTTCCTTTTGTCACTCAGTCTCGATCGCACATATTCAACTTTAGCAAGCTTTCCATGCACAACAGTTTTACCTTAGACATCTTTTGGTTCATCCAACTCTATATTTTAACAAACATACTTTCGTGAACTCAAATTACTGAAAAAAGAACATTGGCTGGCACGAAATTGTGAATCACTTCGCAAGCGTAGCTCAAACTACCTTTTTCTCTCTCTCTCTTTTTTGTAGTTTATGATAGAACAGCCGCTCGGCTCATGCCTTGAAGACGATATGCATGTTATGCAAATTTCAAATTATCCTACTCCACTTCTTTCATACTTACCGATACAAGACACAAGCATTTGGGACATTGGGGAGATATGTCGAACTGGTTTCCTGATTGCTGATAAGGGTTCTGGGTCATCTGGAATAAGTAATTCTAGAAAAGGGTGAACTAGCTTCTAATCATGAAAGGCTGCGATCCGCACTTGATTTCGGGGACTGCTAAGTGGCTGTTGCTCCCCTGAAGGGAGCTGCCCATTGGAAATGTTGGGGAAGCCTGTGGAAACCGGTACTTGTTGTGATCCTAAAATGAACTTGGGAGTTTGGTTAAGAGAGCAAAGCGAGAAATGCTCGAACTTACTGCTGTCGTTGACATGCTGCTGCATGCTCACGTTCATAGACGATGCACTGTGAGGTACACCGCCCATGGAAAACATCCCATTGGGCATGCTCATCGGTGTGTTCGCTCCCGATGACGTGGAACTCGTCGGTACGCCGTTCGGGGAAGCCCCAGGGTAGCACTGCATGCCCGGGTTCATGCCCATTGACGTCGGAACACCACCGTAATGAGACATATCAGGGGGCAATTGCATTGGCCGCGGCAGACATCCTGGAGCCATCATCATTCCGTTGTTCGTCGACATTCCCGGAAACCCTCCGTCGGTTGAATCTAAAATACGCCGATCTAAAATACGAAGATTATCGAAAACTTGTTCGGATCAAGACAAGCGCTAGCTCCTACCATTCCGAGATTTTTTGGCGGGAGGAGCTTTACCCTTGTTCGGAGGTTGAGGTTGTTGAAAAGCAGGCGACATCATCTGCGGGCTAGGTCTAGAACAGCACATCTAATTCCAAAACGTTGAATAAGCTATCAATTCTACCAACACTGGTTGCCGATTATGCATTGGCTGGCCTTGCGACATCGCATTCATTGGATATCGGCGATCATATGTAACATCATAATGCTTGGTATGTGGAAGAAAGGCAAATGTTGGAGGTTCCATTGGAGCAACGTTCTGAAAATTTTCTAAGCTACTTAATAAGCACAGAAATGTACGATCTTTGGTCAATGTTAGATCAAAAGCTTTAGGAGGATAACTTTGGACCGACTGCGGTGCTCTAGGAAAGATGTGCAGCAGGAAAGCTTGATCCACGAAATCACGATGGTGACGGAGTTGAACCATTTTGAATCAAAAAGCGCTGGTCTCAAGAGCCGATCTGTTTATAAGTCGACGTCATCTTTGTATGCCATGCATCATGTTATGACAACATGGAAGCATATGATCGCAGCGGTCGGACAATTTCTATATAAATCAAAAGCTGTGACCAAAGAACTTTTTTAGTGAAAAATGAGCGGACTTCGCGAAAGGAAACCCAAGAAAATTAGTATCTTTCAATATGATAGAAACATTTTGAACATTTGGTATGGACTCGTCACTCCATTATCCCCTCCAGAAGTTTAATCCCATATAAACCACAACCACACCCGTCTCCTATCCGCCGATGCTGTGATCTAAACTGGCATAATTTCGAAAACATTATACTGAATGCAGGATTTGTTCAGTCTCTGAAACTTTAATCATTTTCAAGCTTCGAAAAAACTCTTGAAAACCCTATAATGCATGTCGAAACCCCAAACCTCAATGGGATTTGCAGGTTTTACTCAATTTCGGTACAGTCATAGACACTAGTTGGCAATACAATTACTTAGTCTCCATCATCGTCCAAAAATGTTGTCCACTGTAACATTCTGATGCTAACAGATAAAGTATCAGAATTTGCTAAGTTCATATACACAAAGCACTGTTGCAGAATGACAATGACTCATCGTGAATATGTACTTTGGAAATAAGACAACTACTACAACTGAGCTTAATTAGAAAACAATAATCACTTCGAAAGCCTCAATTCAAGTGGTTTAGATATGAAAGAATCCCCACAAATATATGCAGAGAAATTTATTTTTTCAATCGCATTTAGTCTATTCTCAAAGTGTGAATTTCCAGACAAAACAAAAGACTGTAGAACAGTTGGTACTCACAGAAAGATTTGGTCCAGCGGGATAAGGCAAAATGAGCAACGTTTTTCGGCGCTTGTAGTAGAGCTGCAAGGCAGGGTTCCTCATCTAAATGATGCGAGATAAACATTAATGACAAGGCTAGCTCTCGATCTAACCTGAAATGACTCTTGCAAATGCAAAAAAGCTGGAGGCATGTCATAATGGGTGACGAGAGGGAACGGTGTATTTGCCGTAGGTGGTTGTGGTGGTCCCTGATCGGACGCTGGAGCACTTTGCGCATTGCTGCCAAACATAGAACATGACGTAGGACTCAGCGCCGTACTAGCAGACATTCCAGAATTCGACATCTGAACATGGGAAGCTTATATAAGTGCGAAGTGCGAGTTCAAGACACGTATAGAGAGCGTGATCACACGGGAAAGTTCTCCGCATGATTCACCTATCCACTTGGTGTTTCCGAAAAAACTACAACAAACAAACTGTATAACCTGATCGCTGGAATTCTGCTGCACACTGGCAGGGGATGGTTCCGATTTCAAATGTCCACTGCCATTTGATGATGGTCGCATTGAGTTCGGAGGATAACCAGCATTTCTGAAAACGATATAAGCTTGTTGTTACTAGAATTTAGTAAGATACCTGGGCTACAGTGGCGGACCGAACGGAGGGGGGGGGGCAGAATGGATTGCGAGATTTTTGAATGGTACTCGCATGAGTGAACTTGTGACATTTGTAAATAATTGGAATAATTTTAGAAATTTCAGAAATTCAAAGGCCTTACAAAACATTCGGAATGTATGTCTGACGTCGCAAACCTCCATTTGAAAAAAAATTGTCTCCCCCCTCCCCCCACCGCCACTGCTGAGCTTCGCATATACTCCTATATGCTCATGTAGTAAACTTTTTGTACTCTGAACTAGAATGTCTATCATCGGTCTTCCACATCATGTAAAGATACAAGCGAGATTCTCTAATATGTAAAGAATCGTTAACTCAATTCAAAAATCGGCCAATAGCGGGAAAGCGCGTGGCGGTCCTAAGGCGAACGCTCTTCCAAATAGCACCTTTAGATTACTGGTTCACTAGTATTCACAAAGAAAAGCCGAATGAACAGATTAAACAAGTAGATGATATGCATTCGCCAACCTGTTTGAACCGGGGCTTGGCTTGTTTGCCTGCATTGGACTCGACGACGGATGAGCGGCCTGGCTTGGCGACTGCGTAGGTGGTGGCATCTGCTGGCTGTTCGCTGCCTGTTGCGACATCTGTTGTTGCTGTTGCTGTTGTTGGGCTTGCTGTTGTTGATGTTGCGCCTGCGCTTGGGCTTGTGCTTGTTGCTGCTGGTGCTGCGCTTGCGCCTGCTGCTGTTGATGTTGCGCTTGCGCTTGAGCTTGTTGCTGCTGATGTTGCGCTTGCGCCTGTTGCTGCTGTTGTTGCTGCTGACTCATCGGCGTTGGCGGCTGCTGCGGGTTCGGCATCATCTGCATTTGACCGTTCATTGCCATCACACCTCCCATGTGTTGCGGCATACGTTGACGCATCTGGCCACATTTCGGCATTGTTGCTTGCGGAAACTGCCGCATGGGATGCGCTCCAAAAGACGTGGGAATTGCTGTCGGAGACATCATCGGCGTGCCCATTGGACCTTGTGCGTTGGTGAAACCATACCTAAAGTGACTCATTACCATGGTGTAATGTAAATGACGTAATAAACACAGTTGTTTCTGTAACACGTTAAGCGATCTGAATTATGGAATCCTAGAACTCTCTAAAGATGAGAATCAGAAGGAATTGCTAGCTGAAGTTCAAAGTAAAAGGGAGCATAATGTGTAATTTCTGCTGCAATGCGCACAGAAACCGATGTATAGGAACAGACACTTCAGCACTATGTAGCCATGCGGTGACATACGCCATAATCAAGGCATGGTATCTATGCAATTCTTTATTGAATTATCTGCTGAAGATGAAGTTGGTTCAAGATTTTTCATAACAATTCCAAAGCAGAATGGTGCTGAAGATCAATTTTCCACCGCTATGATAATGCTGCAGACATAGAAGGGATACAAGCCGTGATGTATGTTAAAGCATTCACTGCTAAATCGTAGTTTATATGAGTATAAGCTAATGAAGATGTGTCGCAAACTGCGGAATTTCCCTTTTGTAAAAAACTGAAGACTGCAGTGAGATTTTCGAAATTCACTTGACCATACTCAGTCTTACCACGACAATTAATGATAATGACAAGTTGACTAATTCACAATCAAAACTTTCAAAGATCTCGCTTTTGAAGGCATAATCAAAATTACTCAAAGGTCGCAATATAAACGGTGTGTTTGAGCTTACCCGTTCATTTGCTTGGGATCAAACATTGGATTGGTAGGGTGTGAACCATTGGCCGTTGGATACGGATTTGCGTTGAAACCCTAAAACAGTGAACTGTGTACCTGAAATGTTTACCTGAGCAATTGCTTACTAACCTGTTGAAACGCTTCCGAGGGGAAAGCAAAACCTCCTTGAGGGAAGGCAGGTGATTGTGCATTGAACGGCCCAGGAGCAGGCACGGGAAAGCTTGCCGACATACTTTGCACGTGATGACGTTCAGCTGACAACAGAAGCAAATAATAAACAAAGCATCTCAGTCTGGAAAGTTTGTCTTCAGCTATATGCATTGTTTGGGATACAGAGCACTTTGTATAAAAGTAGCTCACTATATTGCGGTGAGATTGCAAGTAATAGCACTATGACTCGGCGCATAAATGAAAAGTTCTGGACTACTACATTAAGACAAACAAGGAGAGATTGAGTTGCTAGGCGAATTCAAACCATTGGTGCAACCAAGACTAACACGCCTATGAGGTGTTGACGCATTTATTCTTAGACATCGAGAACAAAGGTAACCGATACGAACTTTGCAGTTAAAGGGGCGGAATTTGAAGGCCTCATAATCAAAGTTACTCAAAGGTCAGATTTGCTTCGTCCCCAACGTAGACGAATTAGTTACAAAGTTATTCATCGCACCTTATGCTCCATACTCGGTTTTACTATCCTGTTCAAAACAAGCTTGCAGATAATCCACGCGTCTCACCAGATAAAAATCGTAAATTTTTCTCTTAACTAGGATTAAACCGATGTACTGACTATGTCTTGCTAACTGTAGCACTAGAATTAGAAAACAAATGAAGAGAAAACATGAGCACAATAACCAAAATCGTCAAAGGGATAACTGGAATAATTGCGCAAAATCGGTAATTTACGAAACCATTCGTATACAGTATTGCAAGTAATGAAACATCAGACACGCGCTACCAGGTTCTTCGGTGATGATAAATATACGAGAAATTTCAAATAAATCATTCCAAATGTGCTGTTATATAGTGTTTTGATGGTGTTTAAGAAAGAAGCAATGAAAAATATGTTTATTGAGATTCATATAGATTATGGCAAACGTGATACGGTATTACAAAAATGGACGAGATGTGGAGAAGACCACATCACGAAATGTGAGACTGTAAGGGAACTTCTGCAACGAACAGATTGAAATAGGAAGCAACAAATTTGTACATGACTGTAGCAATGGCCCGTACTGATTTTGTACAATCAAATAAGCTTGTTGTTCTTTGCTGCTGGTCTTGGAATTCTTGTTTTTTTGAAAAATCGTAGGGCAAGACCGAAGAGGGAGAAGTGCAGGCGAAGTTCACAATCTAACCTATACTATGACTCATGAATTGTGAGTCTAAGTTTCACGCAGATTACAAAAACGACTCATTCGCTGATAAGGCGAAAGTTACATCTGACGTCAGAGTATTGTTCCCTTGTGATATAAGCAAAAAGAAATTGTCGAAACAAAAGCAGAACTGAGTAAGATGTGCTTAAAGTCACCGGCTGGGAGTAAGAACGTATTTTAACGTAAGAAGTACCGTTTTTGAAACTATTTCATTGTCTCTAATCCACCACCAAATTGCTTCACCCGCGCAAAGATGTCCAGTCTTCAGAAAGACCTATCCTCAAGAAAAATTAGTGTAAACTTCAACATTTCCATCACGCTAGTCTTCCGGAATCAAAGTCGAGGTGTGCACCAAATGGATATACCATTTACTCACTTCTAGCTAGTCTTAACAGTCACACATTGAGAATTTTGATTTTAAGTTTGTAGAAGGCAATCGAAAGATTAGTATATATATATATAATTATTATTTATTTATTTATAAAGATAAGATCTCAACTCTGATGAAAAATAATAGAGTTCGTCCACTACACGACTATAGATCGAGAGTTAGGCTAAAGCAATAGCAGGTTAGAAGCGCGATCCTGTTTTTGTTTGCACTTCTACGGCGGGGAAAAACCTCACAACTTCCAACAAATGAAGTCAGTGCAGGGTACTCACACGATTGCGAATACACTCGCAAATCAATAGAGAAGACCGTTGAAGCTTTTTATGCACCTCAAATTGTCTGCAAAACAATAATGTCGAACATTATTCACGTAATAATATCGTATATGTAGATTTGAAACAATAGTTCTATTATGAGATTTAAATGTCAAATGAGAATGTATGTCAGCAACTGAAAGAATAAAAACAAGGTTCTCCAAATTTCTGAAATTTGTCTTCGCCTTAGATCATATCTCTGTAAAGACCAAACTGATAAAATAGAGGTTTTCTTTTTGTTTTGTGTGAAGATACACATAAAGATAAGCGAGAGAGTGCAAAAGCTAGGCGAACTTTCACACTAGTCATATTGCGATAAAAGCCACAACAATAGCTTGTACTACGGAAAATCGAGTTTGAATCTGGACAATGATTGAAGCTTGCACTGACAGACGTTTGAATGAGATTTGTCGTAAAAACTGTTTTCATACTGCTTGAAAACAAGCGAAAATCAGAAACATCCTGAGTAAAAAGGAAAAAATTGAGGCTTTGAAGGGGAAGTATAATATGCTAATATGATTTCACTGACCATGGCAGTACAGCGTTTGCTAGAAGTGCAAACTGCGGCAGTGACCGCAAAATCAAGCCATCCAAGGGTTGATTTTCTCCTATGTTAGCTTACTAACTGCCAGCGACTACGGAATCAAGAAGCGCATGATGGGACAGCTGGGAGTGAAGAAACATTTAGGTACCTTACGTTTGACGCAATCACGAAGAAAAAAAAACAGCATCACATCATCACATTAATCAAAATTCATTTCTTGAACCCGACTTATTGGTAGGCCAAAGATCAAAGAGTTGAACTCACATGAAGTGTATGCTAGGGTCCTTCCAGATACATCCACTGCCTCTAGACTTCTGTTGCCTGTAATTTTAGCGTTTATGAAGGCAACAAACATAAGATGCTCAGAAACAGCACGACAGTACTCTGCAGGGATCAAGGCATAACGTGAGTAAAGGCAAAAAGTGAGTAAACAGCGGCATGAGGCGAGACGAACCAGAGGCAGTGAACTAGTGCGAGAATAAGGGGATGGAAACGGCAGTTAGGTGAGATGGTCTGTACGGCAGATGACTGAGACGACGCGTGCCCGGACACACGCGATGATCGTTAGATCATTTCAACTCGACGACTGTTGCGATATGCTTCGAGCAATCCCGGAGGAACGCTGGCTAGCTGGATCGCAGTAGAACACTATCTCTGACACATCAAGACAGGCTCGTAGAGCGCAATTAAAACAGAACATTTAGTTTCGCTTGCGCGTGTGGCCATTGATGCGACGAAAGTGGATCAATCGAAAATGGTCGACTGCGAATGGTGAGGAACGAACAAGACAAGTAGATGAGAGATGATTGTCGCGAGGGTGTGCTCCCAGTTCGCAGAAGTCGCCTTCGTGGACGAAGCGCTAGTCGATGAGCAGGAATCAGCGCACGAGGTCGTCGTGTCGATTGGGACAATGATCAGTGACTGTACGAGGTGTTCAAGCAAGTGCATGCCTTATCGAATTCATTGCATTGTCACGTGCTATTCAGTTCTATGCAACAGGGAGATACAACAAGGGCAAAGTGGGAGGCAGTTCCGCCGGCTCCGCAGCTCAAGCCGGACATCCACGAACAGCGCGCAGATGCGCAGGTCCTCAGCAGGACCGCGCAGCGGCGCCACGAGCAGCACCGCCTGCAATCACGCTCGAACAAACGTTCGCGTTAGCAGAGCGAAAAGGATTAATTTGGAGAAAGTCGGCAAGTGTGGCAGAATAAGACGGGAAGGTTGTCGGTGTGTGGGGGAAGTGACTGCGATAGCGTGCGGCGGACGAGATCCAGTTTCTACGCGGCCGCTAGCCTCACAGACACATGCATACACACAGCTACACTACACACGTTCGTATATAAGTAGGTACACGTTACTACGATGCAGAAGCTGCCAAAGTGGACGTGAATGTGCTAGGATGTCAGCCGACCAGACAAAATGCTGCCAGGGTGGGATGTGATGCATCAGAAAGGCATCTACGGTGGAGAAGATATCCACAGGGAGGTTCTGCCCGTAAATGCTACAAGAACTTCAGGAGCTATCCGCAATGGAGGGCTGTTATTGGAATATTACGGCAAGACAGACCGAATATGAACGCTCTCTCGCGCAACCACATACGAGCTTTGCAAGTCTTGTCCGGGTTTCGCTCGAAAAACTGCTGACAAGCCTCAGCGCAGGGATGGAGGGGGGGGGGGGGGAGCAGGCGAGGAGCTGGACCAAATCATCGAGGCTCAGCTGGTGAGAGCCTGTAAACCCACTACGGACTTCTACTGACATGGGTAGTCTGGTTTGTGACCTTGAAGGAACGTTCGGAGACAAAGCAACGCAGTTAAAGTCGCGTTGTTTGCATGACATGGATAACAATACGTTGAAGTGAATGAAAACTGCATTCAGGTGCACACAGCACAGGCGATCAGGAAAGGCAGATATAGCTTTCCAGCAAAGGGATTAGAGATGATCACTTTATATAAAAACTCAGATGAAGTCGGTGTTTCTTTGAATGAAGTGAAGTGGCAGAATAGTATTCTGAAGATAAAACAACATGTCAGGAAACGCTTTTTTTTGACAATCTGAATCTTAAGCGAAGTAAATACAAAATGTGATTCAGTAACCACAACTTTAAACAAGCAGAGGATTTAGCGGGTAGGGAAAGAGTACGATGAACTTGAATTTACTAAAATACGTAAGCGCTTTGTTTATGAGCTTTGTGTGCAATCAACTCTCCAGCAACCGTCACATTTTCAGTGCAGAGAGAGCTCAGTATCGCTATTTTTGCTTTACTAGCGAAGAAAATAAACATTATACATAACGCCATGGCTGAACCACATCCAGCATTAATAAAGATATTGTGCAAGGGAAAATTCGATAAAATAATAAACGATATCGTGTTACAACAAACATCAGTATCTAACATGATGCGTGGTTGTGTCACTGGTGGAGAAGGTATTGAAGTGTAGGAAAAAGCTTGGGAAAGAAAGACTTTATGCAACTCTTCAGAGATCTTTAGTTGACTAAAATAAATTGCTGATTTGCTAGGTCACTGTTAAGATGCAACATTGAGCGACAGAAAACGAGTAAGAAAAAATTTTCTCTACAACATATATAGACCTACTAGCATGGCCTCATTATTTGCTCTAAGTCAAAAACATCATTGTAGAAGCACTCCAGCTGTCCACACCGTCTGCTTCGGATTGAAGTGTTATTCGCATTAATCGATAAGTACTTCTTCCATAGCCTTCTATAGACAAGTCCAGTCAGAAAAAGGAAGTACGACAATAATTACATGGGATCCGCGCTCAATAAGGCTTCAGCGAACGAATCGTGTGGAATCGGTCAAACTTAAAAGTACGTGTGTATATGCATGTGAGTGTATGTGTGCGGTTTGGCGAAATACATAATGAAAAACGTTTCCGGTTTTATAATTATCGATCGCGTGACATGGAACATTTAGCGTTGGGTGTTAGATCTGAAGCAGAGGAAAACATATTTGTTTAACTCACACTTCCATGAGCGCTGACTCAGTGTGAAAAGACTGAATTTGCAACGAATCAAGTGAAATTTTGGAAATCACGCGAAAGACGAAAAAGTGTGAAATCTGAAAAAGCTTATGTAAGACAGCGATAAAAAGTAGAAGTGTTATGTAGGAAGCGTACAGATTAATTTATCTTATAATTTGGCGATGGGGTAAATGCTGAGCGATAGAGACAAACGTCCGGCGTAGCATAAAGAAAACATGCACCATGCTTCAATGGACTTGTTTTAGCTTGTAATCCGGATGTGAGAGCTATGATTATTTACTGTATACTTCTTGGAATGCATACAGAAAGAACAAGCTTTTGCAAATATAGAATGGAATTCCTGAGAGAAAGAAAAATGAGCACAACACCATTTTCTGAATACATAATATGAATAATTGATATTCAGAAATCGGGTACTTTTCCGTTACCCGGACCCATTTTTTTCAATAGGCTCTGATATGATGTTTTTTAGTCTAAGTATAATTTTTCACAGATTCTACGAGGATTGCCTCCTTGCCATGTGTCGCAAAAAAATCGACACATTTTGGTCCATTTTGACGTTTTCTTCGAAATTAACTCTGGTGAGGTAAGAGTATTTGTGATCACCTTGCTGCTGTTTGTCTGTTTCACATGAAAGCAAATCAATCATGAATTGATTTTAGACCATCTTGCTTGCTTCAGCAGTGATTCAAAATCGAAAAAATGTCCTTCTCTTCAAACCATTTTCGAAATGCGATTTCAGCCAGAAAAGACTATAAATGATAGCTTGAATTAGCTTGCTGCTGCTTATTTCGCCTCGCAAATGACGGAATTCTAGCGCACTTCTCTATTACGAGCAAGTCTAATTTCTTCATCGATGATAGTATGTCGTTATTATTACAAATGTTCACTGTTTGGTCGAATTAAGGTCGAAATTGGCTAAAAAACAGATTGAACTTACGTCGCTAGGTAAAATGACACAAGCCCTTGGTAAAACGTGTTAAACATGTAGATGGCATGCCAAATTTTTTTGACACGTGGCAAAAGGATTTCCTTCCTGTGAAGCTGGGACTAAGCACGATACAAAGATAGAAGCAATATCTCTCTTTGAAGAAATGGGGGATAACGGAAAGGTACCAAAAATTGCAAAGATGTGTGAAAAAGACGTTCTAGCTCACTAAGAAATGCGACGTGAAGAGGAAGGATGTAAGGTAAAAGTTTTAATCCTCTCTTTTGATCTTTATCATTTCGAAAACTCAGGTGTTATGGATCATGCATGCTTCCAGGAGAGGAACATCATCCGACACTTCTCTAAAAAATAAGATACTACTTTATTTCAATAATGCATCGGATTTCGCAAACCGGTACACCAAAGTGCACTTTCCACACTTTTACGGGACACTTCAGTTGTCGAATCAAGTTCTGTGTTGAGCGTGAACAATTCTCTATGACGACGTTGGAGCTTCAGCATAGCCTCAACGGTAGGAAAGCACCATTAGGATTGGATTTTGGTTCACCAAAAGAAGAGCAAGCCCAAAAAATCTTATACAAAGCTGTTCTTGAACAACCGAAAAGACGCTGTGTCGGGGTAGCGATTCATTGCGGATAAACGCTGGAAAAAGTGTAGAACATGCAAATTTTTTCTCCAGCAGGACCTAACAAACCTAGGGTTACTTGCTAGGAACAGAGAATCGAAAATTCGGAAAGCAAACACGCGTAACACGCGTAGAAAGCTAAAAACTCATCGAACTCCAAGAATAAACACAGGTCGTTCAGCTTAGTCTCCGCGTAGAATTCATGATACAGTTTGGTAATGTGTGGCATACTGGTTCTCATGTTCGGCAGTGATAAGTAGCTGGGAACAACAACCTTGCATTTTGAGCTGATCCATAATTTTTAGCGTGCAAGAAGTTTACAGAGGCTAGCTAGCATAATATAAGATAATTAAGCCCGATCTCACAATCAGTCGGATTCATCGTCACTTAGGGTCGATCAGCTATTAAGATTTTAATTTTGACGAACTATGGAGTCGCACAGGAAATTCAAGCATGAGAGTCAGCAGTCGCACGAAATTGCAGCCAGAAAGAATAGAGTCGAGAAAGAAAGAATTAGATAGTGCGACTTTGCACAATATTTGCGGATAGTTACATTCAGATTTTAGATCATTTCAACAAATATGTACATATGATTGGAAGAGTCAGAACAATGCTAAATCGGTCAGATTTACATTGAGGCAGACCATATGCAAAGAATGCATGCTAAGCAGGAACAAGATTACTACCTCCTTATGACCACACTCAGGACTTTTCCTACCCCTCTACCACAACTAAAAAAACATCACCAAGGCAACGAAGATTTCGGCCGAGATATACAGCAC